TTTCCCAGTTTGCTCTTTCTTGGCAGGGAAACTTCATCTACTATCCTCGCACGACCTCTCTGTCTAGCCTAACTGCTCAGCAGCATCACCGGCGTCACTATTACCTCTTCTGGTCTCCTCCTCCTTTCTTCCTGTCTTCCTGAATTTTCACATTGGCTGCAGATGGGACCGATGCATCATAGCGGGTGCATCATTTCGTTTTGATTTGGGACTGGCTTTGGTTGTAGATTTGGGAGGGAGAAGGCCAAGTACACGTTTCTTATATGGCTCTCACTATCCCCAAAGAGCTTACCACCCAGTGTTGGTTACATACGTGATCCGATCTTCTCTTTGAAGATCTCTCTGGCCCGTTCGCAAAGCACTCCATTCTCAACCATCTGCCGTACGTTGTCGATGGTACGTATCATCATCTTCACATCACCCTCCTATACTGACCATCCTTTACTGGGTCAATCTCTAAATTACTCCTACTCGTCAATATCAGCTCGCCCAGTAACGGCCCGTCGAGGAGAAAAAGGACATTGTGGCCGTTTTCTTGCATTTCATTCCGACCGTGGCTTGGGGGAGTTGAGCCACCCTCCGAGGAAAGAAGCAACAGGTTGTGCTGCAAGAGAAGGGTGTTTATATACTTTTGGGCTTTTCCACAGCATGTAATCCTTCGATCCGACGCTGACATTTCTCGTCGGTCAAACCGCACTCTACATATCTACGTTCATACCACCCAATCGACGCTGGTCTCACAAGAATCATCTTCATCGTCATTATCAATATTCCCCTCTGTTGGAAGAGAGAAGCATCTCCATCACCAGGGACAAGAAAAGACATGGTCCATCAGTGCTCTTTCTGAGTGCTTAGTTACAAGGTTGAGTAATGTAAAGAGGAAAAACGAGATGCTCCTGCGGAAAGGAGGGCTCTATATACCTCCGCATCAATGGTAGACAACATGTGATCCTCAATCGGGATTTCGTGCATTACTGTTTCAAACATTAGCATCAAACCTGTACGAGACCATTGGACGTAGCTGTTTATTTCTGAAAAGAGTTCGAGTAACTGCCTTGGCTATGATCAATCTCGATCATCACATAATTTCCCCTTCTCAGAACTCTCTCACTGGGGAAAATGGTGGACGGACATGGCATAGTATTGAGGGACGTTCTGTTTCTCGTCAACATTGGCTCTGATCGATGAGAGAGCAAAAGGTAACTAGTCTTGTTAGAGGAGGGGGGATAAGGGACGCCCTTGACTCACCTCCGATGACACGTTATCCTGATTCTCGATTTTCCAAAGGCTTCTTTACACACTATCCGCTAGAGTACAGCACCGTTGCCACGTGGTGATGCTCCTCCTCATCAAGTTATACATCTCCCGTGTGAATATTTCACCACATCAACAAACATCAGCATGATGATCCCGTTCCTAATCAAGACATTTCCGGCTCGCTACATATCGACACCTACTAGAACGAAATGGCACATAACACGTGGGAGTCCAATGTTTTAGTACCCCCTCTTCTCAATTTCCGTTACTCTTAAGAACGAGGAGAGTAGTTCTATCAAGAATGAAGGGTTTTATACCCGTTCAAGGACTTATACGGCAGGTGGTTTTCAGAACCCTTGAATGTTGTGCACGATGTCCGAGGTACTTGGGGTTTCCGAATCTCTGGGTAAGTGATATGTGTACCGCACTCACAAGTACTACGCTTCCTCAACTCTAGTGCGATTATCATCACCGTTGTGAAGGACTGCCATGCGGAGGAAGAACTACCTCTGGTTCCCAAGCTTGGGAACGGCAAATCCACGGACTCTGGAACACAGAATACATCTCTAATGCTTCTCGCGTTTTCTGATTCTTGTTAGCAGCGGATCTAGCCCAGTCATTAAGAAGGGAGGATAGGAAGATGCGTAGCTGGACAATTGGCAATCTTATACTGTATGCCCGTGATTTATAGTGGGGTTAGATGGCTTGCTACTCCACATGCCTGCAACGCAACTGCGTTCGAAAACAACACTGGAAATCACCCATCTTCGCTTCTCGCTCATACCGATGCTTAGGATCACCGTGAGAATCAGGAGCGGCATCTCCAAAAGCCGCACATACCAGCACCTTGTCTCTTTTAGAGCCTACAAGTCACGAAATTCCATAACATGACATGCTTATTGTATTTTGGATTCCCACTCCTCTCACCACGCGATGTGTAAGGAAAAAGTAGGGGAAGGATTGCCATCGACGCAACGGCGTAACTTTATAGCTCTTACTAGTCGTGCTCACCTGACGGCTTCATTCCCACGTAGACGGGTTTTGAAAGACATAACTTTTCATTGTGGTGTGTGCGACAGGTCCAAAACCAACATAGGTGCGTACATACAAGTAGATAGCTTCATCCTCCCATAGGGTATTCCATCACCATCATCACCAGCATCGTCATTGTAAACCCCCTTGGGCTGGCTCACCATCTCCTCCCTACCCAGTCATCGAAAACACAGACGCACTTCCATCTAACTTCCACTGCGGACAAAGACTCCACAACATCAACTGGTTCTCCGTACATTTTTTTTGCGTGTTTAGTTCCGCTACCGTGTTTTTCCTTGTGGGTGGAAAAGGGGAGAGAAAAAAGAGAGCAGAGGACGGGGTTATATACACGCTTCCCGACTCCGACACGATAGGAGATTTTATGGTTTCTAAGACTGAATTTTATCTGTGGTTAAGCACATGTGTGCATTCATACATACATGTTACCCGCTTCGCAACGTAATACCAAGATCTCCGTACCCACTCCTCAGCATCATCATCATCATCATCATCATCATCATCATCATCAGAACTACCCCTGGCCCACTATCTCCCGCACATTTCCTCAGGTCTCCGTTCCCTATGCTTCCTTCTCTCGAAACTGCTTACACATGAAATACTCGCTGAGAGATTTTGCCAAAAAAGCAAAGACACACATGCCACATGACCTCTCCCCTTTTTGATTGCTGCTCAAATCTCGCTCACAGCCAACGCGGAAAAGCAGAGAAAGAGAAGGCAGTATTCCTTCGAAACCTGACGCCGTTATATACCTCGAAAGCGTGCACCTAGGGTATAAATAGAGGCCGAAAATCGTCTCCACTTCCCTGACCTTCGCAACAGTATCACCCAAGACTAAATCCATTCCTCAAAGCCCTACGGAGGAATTCCATGTGCCTTCCTTGAGTAGTACCGAAACTTACCCTTGCTACCCTGCAGTCGAGCAGTTAGTTTTGACATGCTCATCTGCACCATCATCATCATCTCCATCATCTTCATCATCTTCATCATCATCGTGGCCCTAAATATCTCCTTCAAAGTACGCTCCTTCAAAGTACGCATGCTTAGCAAATATCGCCAGAAACGAGAACAGGAAAAGGGAAAGGACATGTCCATGTGTAGATATCGCTTTTGTTGGCCTATGCAGCGTCTTCGTCAGTGCAAGAGAAAAAAGTAACTACGTCTGTCCGCAAAGTGCGAGGTTTATATAGTTTCTCACGTTGTAGATGGTACGGGATTTCAAATGCAAATTCGTACATAACCATGTTCTAATTCAAGAAACAAGAGGAGCCGGTCACCGATCTGCGATCATGACTTCATACCGGCCAGAATTCTTGATGAATGTTACATATCCAACACCGTCATCAGCATCATCATACCCCTTGTGATACTTGGAGACAACGCTCACTGCCGCCGTCTCCCAACATGTTATAGTCGTTTCATTCTTTAGAAACCCCACCCTCCTCCCTACTTAACCCCCTTAAGGAAAAAAGAGAAAGGAACAGAGAAAAGGCAAAAGTCAGAAGAGGAGAAGGTATATATAACCCCGCCGGAGCTGTAAATTTCAGGGCGATTAAAAGTCCTCGTGAATGCACATGCACATGGCCCAGCTGCTCCTTTGGAGAGTAGATTTCAAAACCGCTCCGTCTTCCCCGCTTGCTTCTCAGTGCCATCCCTGTTGAGTATCAGCATCAGCACCATCAGTAAGTATCAGATATGAGCATCACCCACGAAACATCGAACCGCTTCTCGCGCATTTGACCCAAAGCCGCACACGACACTCCATGAACCATGTCGCTCTTGGATTTTAGAGCCTGCACTCACTCCACCACACTGGTAACAGGAAGAATCTCCACAGTGGCAGCGATTCTAGGCCTTTATATCTGTTTTCTTTAGAGAGGTCCTCACGTGACCTCCTCTTTCACATCATCCACCAGCATCGTTTTTGAAGCACATGTGCGGTTGAAAGATCATCAACAAGCGGGATGCTTTTCAACGTGACCACGAGCATGAACATATATCTTCATTTTCATCCTCATATCTCTCATCACCACCGATCTAATGTCCCTTTCGCAAAGGAGCAGAAGGCGTACAACTACTTCCCACTCCCACGCCCTCATCTCGCTCCGGGCGGGTCAATCCGTTGACAAAAACCGCAGTATACCCAATCTCTGCATCAATTCATCCACTCGTATGCAACCGCATTCTATGCCTTTTTGCTCATACCGCTCCCCTTAACTTCACTCTCCAAAGCGGGAGTTGCTCAAAACGAGAGTGCCAAATGCGCTGAACCATCTCGCCAGCCAGCGTGGAGCGCATGCATAACATGAAACCAAGAGAGAAAGAATAAAGAGGTGTAAAACACAGCAAGTGAAGCGAAGGTCATGAAGCGTTGCCTGAGTCTTGTTTCAGCTCGAGCTGGCATACTACTCTGACAGCCACGCTGCCAAGATAGAGTGTCGTGCAGCGCAGCACCACAGATTTGCTGCGGAGCTGACTCAGATCTATCCGTCAGGCCGGATTGTGAGAGCCGACCGGCACCGTGTTTGCGCGGTGTTTGTGCGCCTCGAAACGGGTCCGCATGACGCAGATGCGTGCAACTCGTTGGGTAACCTCCTCAGGTTGCCAATACTAATCCGAGCGTCCCTCACCGGTCGAAGAATACCAAACTTCCAATCTTGGATGCAATGATAATGTAGTGCTAGATCATCAGATCAGCGCGTCCGCGTCTCTTGGCTGGCGGGATCCGGTGTACGCTCAACGCCCTGCATAGCCTCCCCACTGGTCTTGTCCTCTGCAATTGCATGCCCATCCCGCGACGAATCGCGAACTCTAGGAAGGCTGCCAGCGTCTGAGTTGGTTGGCGTGCCCAGCCTCTCTTTCGGATAGGGCTCAAGGTCCTTGGTGCTTGTCGAGAATGTCGAAATGACGGGCGTATACGTCCTGTGGTCCGCTTGCGTGGGAGTCCTCGCCTCGGTATTGGGAGACAAGACTGCATCGATGCCGTTATCGGCGACCGGGTTTGCGTGCATCAAGCCATTCCACCCCCCTTCGATGTCGCGCAACAGGCGCACGTACTCCTCGGGCACCAACCCTCGCTGTTCGGTTTTAGGATCTTGAGCAACAAGCCACCCTTGGCCATGGCGATAGGACACCAGTATCACTTGGCCCTCTGTTAGGCCTAACTCGTTATCGTTCTCAGGCGTGAAGTCGAAAAGCGCGACAGCCTTGCCGTGCATTTCCTCTTCAGGGGATGCGATGGTGAACTGGTAGTCTCGCGAATAACGGCTTTCATCATAGATGTAGTCTTCTGGTTCGGACATGTCATCGTCCGAATCGTATGGTGGTCCGTCCTCCGTGGCATAAGCGCGCTGAGGCAGTAGCGTGGCAAAATGAGAGTCGCGCTTGGATGGCTCTCCAGAATTCGGAACTTGCAAGCTCTGGTTCTGTGATGAGTTCGGAAAGGTGATGTACTCCCCTCCCGGACCATTGGCGGACTCGACCATCTCGCTCACGTAGTATATCTCATTGCCATTCGCATTGCTGCCAGCATAAGGGCCCCGCCTGGACTCTTCCCGGTATCCCTTTCGGCCGCGATTCTGGTCGAAGAATTCAATGTTGGATTTGTGCTTTTTATGCCGGGAATGGCTCGTAACGATGGGGCTGTGAAGGTCTTCGTCCTCGCTATAAGGCGGACCCCCGTCTGCGAAAACGGTCTGGGGAAGCTGCTCGCCGGGATCCCAGGTGCCAGCAGACCAGCCTCCCTTGTCTTGCCAGGCAACAGGCGGAGGGTCTGAGAGCCGCCTACTCACCTCGCTTGCGGGTGTAGAGATGGTGGAGGGCTGTTCTGGGAGAGGGCCGTAGAAGAGAGGATGGAGGGGCCCATAGGCAAAGTCTCGTACCAGTGTGTAAGGCAAGCTCGAATGAAAAATGGGGAAGGCAGTAGACTGCGGCCGCGACCGTACAGAGGGCTGATTTGAGGCATTTGAGAAGGTGGAGAGGCGCTTGTTGATGTATGAGCTCTGCCTCTCCAGTCTCGCCTTGGAGGGCGGAGATGTGACGAGAGGAGGCAGGGAGGTGCGGTTTGCGTTCGGCGAAGAGAGAGGACCAGGCTCACTCCTTGGGGAGAGTACGTCCGCCATGTCGGAATGTCTCCGGCGCGCCTTGATGACCTCGCCTTCAGTTATATCTTCCAGTCGTCCCGCTTCAACAGCTTTCTCGCTCTCGGTCATGCGCCGCGGTCGTATGTGCGTCCTTCTGGTGAAAAATAAAGTCAGTAATGAGTAAGGGAGTTTTTGTATATATGAGAAGGCTCGTAAAGGACCACGGGTCAGGAAGGCGCGCGCGACGTCACGGAGTGAGATGCATATAGGCTCCGAATCAGCGGGGCGCAGCCCGTTCAAGATACGACTCGGTGGAAGGATGGGTAGCTGGAGCGACCAGAAAGACTGAGGTTTCGATCGTTTCCCACGAATCACAGTGAGACGGTACCTGACGAGTAAATGGGGGGCGCTTGATGCAAGCAATTACGCGCGTGGTGTGTACGTTTTGGCGGGCCGTAGGTGTCGAGGACGAGATGCCAATGGGTAGCAGGGCGGCGCTTGAAGGGCTTCTGGAAACGAAGTCGACGAGGTGGCAGCGGGAGGCGATTGGGATGCCCGAGGCGGGGTGAAGATGATTGCAAAGAGAGCGGCTGGGGAAGCGCTGGTACAGGGTTGCGGAGCCCTGGCGCTAAGACTTACCCAGTGAAGGGACAGAGGATACAGTCCCGGAGAATGGACGAGGGAATGGGCCCTCGATCACTCGGAGGACGACCTGGCTGCGGGCGGCTGGGGCGTAGATGAGGGGGTCCTGAGTGTGGAGGGTATGAAGCGAGGACAATTGCGTCGAGGGGTTTGTGCTTTTGGAGGGCCGCGAGGAGGGTATAATTGTTTGGTTGAGGCCAGATGCGTGACCGTCACAGCAGGGAGCGGCGGCGGGAGGCGGCTTGGGGAGGTTTGCTGTGGTCTGGGGGGGTGTGTGTGTGTGAATGCAGCCAGCGGGTTGTGCTAAAAATAACCGGCGACCACGCTGCAGGCGACTAATAAAGGCCGATTGGACGTTTCAGGTGAGAAGAGCGACCGCGGAGCCGCACAGCATCGTCGCGCGCAGGGAGGTGAGGGAAGAGCAAGAAAGGACGGGAGTAGGAGTAGGAGTGAAGGACTGAGGACTGTGATGCTGCCAAAGAGAAAACGGTGCGAAGGTTGGCAGCCGGGAAAGGGAAGGCTGCGAGTCTGCGACTGCTGGGCGATGGTGCACGGGCCATGATGAATGTCGACTTGAAACACGCCAAGGACTCGAGGACAACAACGACACCACAACAACAGGAGATGAATAATACATGGCATGGACTCGGTAGTACAACCAGAGGATGCGCACATCACGAGGCAAGCTGGGTGGGAAGGGTCTTGATGGTCACACAGCGTTTGTTGGTAGTGGTGTACGGGATAGACATGCACTCTTGGTTATTGGCGACCCACGATGTTTGATAGGTAATGCTATGTATGGGCAATAATGAATTGCTCAGGAACACGAAAGACGTTGGATACTTCGCTTGAATGAAAAAGTCGCTATTGCCCCAGACAACAACTTGATGGCGCCATACTGGGCAGCCTGGAGGCTTTAAAGCTTGACGGATTACCCTTTGAGGTGTTGATTTCGCAATAGAAGGATTAGTCATCATCCGTATCAAATTCCCTCCCACACTCGAACCTCGACCTCACCCACGCCTCATCCCAGAGATCCCGCCTATACTTCCCACATACCCGGTATCAACCCAGACCTCGTGATCTTCTCTTCACAACCCGTGTTAGAGACCACAGCCTGATATCTCTGGCACCCTTTGTAAGCAATCCTTCCACCTCTCCCGTATTGCCTGCAAAACGATGAATCCCATTATTGGAGCTGTCCTATTCTCCATGAGGACAAACAAAATACGCACACTGAAAATTCTGATACCCTAGAACCTCAAACATCTCTTTGCTGCGTCTGCTCGGCCCCCCCGTAGCTAATTCGCCTTATAGTGTGCAGATATACTTCTCTTACTCGACTTGCCGATTCCCTACACCCGCTGGCGCTTCCCTCGATTCTTCGGTAAGCCCTCCTTTTCCCCCCTCCACTTCCCTCCGCTCGCTATATGATGAACCCTATTATTGGAGCTGTCCTATTACCCATGAGGACGAAAATAATACGCACACTGAAAATTCTGATATCGCAATGCACCTCCTTCACGATTGCGTCCCGTCAAGATGAAAGCGCATTGTACTGATTTCTGAAAGGTTCATCTTCAGGTCTGAAGTTTACGAGCTCCATTTGAAGCGTTCCTCTACACCAACTCTCTCCAACGCTCAATTCGAACTCCTCCCCCCGCAATGTCGCTCGATCCGAGGCGGAGACCGCCTACGCAACAAGCGCAACAGCAACAACCACCCATTCCAGTTCCTCCGCCCCCTCCACCACCAGTAGCGATCGCTCCCGCTCCCGCTCCCGTCCCCACAAGTACCACACCACCCAAAACCGACGCCCTCCCAGACACATCCTTCAAACTCAAATTCTGCACCGTATGCGCCAGTAACCAGAACCGGTAGGTCCTCACCTTCCCCCTACTTCTCCTCCCAAGCAACGCCCCCCACTAACACCCCACTCCAGCTCAATGGAAGCCCACCTGCAACTCGCCTCCGCCAACCTCCCCACCATCTCTTTCGGCACCGGCTCCCTCGTCCGCCTCCCCGGTCCCACCATCGACCGTCCCAACGTCTACCACTTCAACAGCACCACCTACCGCGCCATCCACCAAGAACTGGCCGCCCAGGACCAGCGCCTCTACACTGCCAACGGCCTCCTCAACATGCTGGGCCGGAACCTAAGCATAAAGTCCTACCCCGAGCGCTTCCAGGATTGGATCCCGGGAAAGCCGAGACTGGATCATGCCGAAGATCAGGGGGCCAAGGGGACGGAGTCCGGCGTCGTGGATGTAATAATCACGTGCGAGGAGCGGTGTTTCGATGCAGTGTTGGAGGACCTACACAATAAGGGCGGGAAATTGAATAGGCCCGTACACGTCTTCAACGTCGATATCAAGGATAATCATGAAGAGGCGCTCATTGGCGGTAAGGCGATCCGCGACCTTGCGTTGACGTTGAATGAGGCTGCCGCTAAGGAGAGGGAGATCCACGGGAACGAAGGATGGAATGTTGGTGGCGGGAAGGCGAGGATGGGGTTCGATGAGAAGGTGCCGGATATTCTTGCGGAGTGGCAGCAGAGGTGGCCCAATCTGCCGGCCTTGTGGAGTTTGGCGTGGTTTTAAGGGAGGTAAAGCAGGATGGGGAAGTCTATCTGGTGTTTAGGTTTTTGTCTTTCTTTTTCCCTGTTGGGGTTTGATGCTTTATGATACATGATACCCATCATCAGCGAGGCGTTGATGTTACAACTTCGGTTCAGGAAATGGAAGGATATAACATGTTCACTCAAATGTCCTGCTTCATTGAAGTTGCCCCGTCATCGTCACATGTATATGACTGACCTGATTTTGACGAATGCACTTCCGTTCCATCTACCCTATGTCATTGCTTTTCGAGCACATATGGCTAGCTGATCAGTACTCTGTCTTGCTCATCCCGCTCACCATCATCATATCACATTGCACTTGCTGTTCAGCATCATCATTTTGGCCTCATGTACAACAACTCGAATCATTGCACACATATCGGAGTTTCGAAATGCTGCCACGATCCACCATATTACACTTGAGACATCGTCTCCCCTTATACAAGCCATAGTTAGACACACGTAACAACGCAAGAAATCCACATCATATTGAATGATTGAGAATGATACGCTGATCCTTATCGTTATCATCATCATCATCGCATCAGAGAATAAAGCGCGGCAATAACGAACATGAAATGTTTAAATCACCTTTCAAATTTTAGAATCTCTCCTGTAGCCTCTTCCTTCCTCCATGACCAAGCCAACTCCCACCAGTACAGCCTCCACCAGACACTGAACCAGGAATCTCCTCAACGGCCAATGCTATTTCGCAACAAAAGCGAAGAGGTTAAAAGTATATATCATCAGCCCACTTGCAAACGACCGAAATCCTTCTGCTTTATCCTCAGCCGCCTACAGACTCTGTCCCAGAGACGTCCTGCACGTACATTCCGCCTTGTCTCACGAGCAGGGTTACCGCCATTCGCTTCAATCATGCGGCTGATCTCCCGTTTCGCAGACGTTCGCGCACCTGGATTGCCACTGATACGGTACTGTCGCTGTGGGAGGCCAACCCGGCCCTCCAAGCTCCGACCAAATTATTCGGTTGGTGGGTTCTTCAAGGTGTTGTTGTCGGTGCTGGTGTTGAAGAAAGCGTTCTCGAGGCCATGACCTTACCAGACGCAGCAATAGCGTTTGTGCGGCGGATGTTCGTGGATGACTGTCAATCCGGAGGTTAAAACAATGCTGCCCTCTCCTCCTCTTTGATGACAGAGAATTCTAGGCGAGGTTGTAAGGCCTTCTCTTCGGCTGCATTGTCTTCATCCACTTGCTTGACATTGCTCCATCGACGAGCCAAAACCCAGGATCCCCGTTGCCTTCCAAACCATTCTGGATCTTGATGCACCTCGACGGAGGCCATCATCGTCGTCACTTCCATAGCTGAATCCACATCCAACATCCGAGTTTGTGCGGATATGGAGAGTCGGGCCCGCCGGCAGACAGACGGCCAACTCCGAACAAAGTAAAATCTTGAGCTCTTCAAAGGAAAAGAATAGACTGCAGATCAGCTTTGCGAGGAAGAGAAAGGGAAGTCGAGCGCTCGCAGAAATGGCATGTTTAAATACTCGGGATCCGCAGACGGCGGTTCTCTGAGTCGAAAGGCTATTTTGCCAACACGGTTGCTGATCGTGATGCTGTTGTTCAGCATCGCGTGTCGTATGCAGCAATATGACTGAGCCCGTCCTGCTAATGAGTTTATGTCGGTCGGCAGCAACAGCACCACATAGCTTCTCGGATATAGTTTCCAGGGCGGTAGGTTGCAGTGGCATCGAACCGAAATATGAGGCTGCAAGCATCCAGGGGAATGGTCTCGCATGTTGCATGTTCGCAGGGGGGCCAAACTGATTGACATTCGACGGGGTGTAACGGGCATCTCCGAAGGAGCGATGCGGCTGTGAGGATTGTCTCTGCTCGACCGGATTCTCAAGCTTTTGCGCGTTCCAAGCGGAGCGTTGATGATAACGAGAGAGGACAGTGCGCAACAGTGACGCTCCGCGGTGCAACCGGAGGAATCACGAACGCGATATGGAAGGATCCTGATTGATTTCGGTTTTCAACCATGAGTGTATGATATCAGACTTTGGAATGCTCATTCTGGGGAAGGTAATGATGGTGAGGTTGAGAAAAGCCGCAGTCGACATGCCAGTGAAGGACTTAATCTCAGTGGTAGGGTCAGTCAAACTTCAAGGCTAGGTTTCTTAAAACTTGCTTACCATTTCGAGGGCACAGCGCTTACATGGGTAACATGGTCTAGAGGCGTGCGATTTAGGTGTACTGTCCGGCAAACACATGAGGGAGATGGCTGCTTTTCGACGTTGAACATACTTCTGCCGCTCGCGGTTTGAAATCGACCAGACGTATATACTATCATCTCAGTGCGCACCTAGTTTTGTGGAGCTGGTTGATGATGAGAGAGTCACGGACGCAGTGCAGAGTTGGGCGGAGAGGGGAGGCAATCAGGGTTCCAAGGTTGGGTGAAGCCGACTTCGAATTCACTGAGGAAGGAGCGCCGCTCTGCTGGCCTGTCGGCGCTCGGACCTCAAACACACCGCCCACTCAAGTCTACATTGATGTTTAAGCCCAGGAAAAAGCTCAGACTATAGTCTGAAGTTACGACTCTTCGAGGGCTTCTTTGCGGTTCACTGAGGAAGGATTGATCTCATATCTTTTCCTAGGAACCAGATGTGGTCCATCAACGCCTCTGCGATACCAATGTTGAACGCCCTTAGGACCTCAAGCGCGCCTCAACTCTCCACCAACTCTACGTAAGTACTAACCCTACAGACCTTGGTGCATACTTCATTGTCTTTCTACATTCGTGCCATTATCAAACGCGCACCCTGGAGCAGCATACGAGGCGGGGTCACTCCCGCGGTACGCTGACCGGTCGGGCCCTTCTATGAGACGAGGCTGAAGTGACTCCACGCACACCCATAGCCTGGTCTCGACCGAGGGAGCGTGAACCCTGTGGAAACGGTAAAACGAGAACCTCAGAGCCTATGCGTTCAGACAAAGCTAAACACAACCTAGTTCCATTTCAAATACGCGCAATGGATGCCCTCCGCCAGCAAGCCCACAACGTTTTTTGCAATCATCGCATATTTAGCTTTAAACCCTCAGCCTCGCCCTTCGAAACTGTTCAGATCACCCAGCATTCGGAAGACCATACTAAATTCAGCCTGGATTCCGTTTCCGAGGACCAATTGCGCGAAATTTTCAACCAAAGCTCCAACAACGACGCAACACAGTCGACCTTCAAACTGCTCACAATAGTGCGTAGCGAGTACCTCGTTCTCGAAATCGGCAAAAGCCTATTTGAAGACCTGATTGAGGCGTGTGAAATTGACAAAAACTTCTATAGGCCCCTCGCATACGAACAGTATGGCTTCCAAAAGGCCCGGTCATATATCAGCGGTCCAGGATCTGGGTACGTTGATTCCTATTATTTGAACACCACATCCGCGCTTCTGCTGTGGTCATACGACAGCACACAGAGGAGGACTTGTGCTATATTCATACCAAATCACGTCGGTACAATTCCGGATAGTGCTGGAGCCAAGGAGGCGGCAATGGGAGCCCTCGAATCACAAATAGCGTTGGTCGACACACCGCATTTGATGTTGCTGGTTGGTGCCATTGTCAACGCGGCATGGCTGAGGGAATCACTTCAAAACTCGCTTTATATGACGCGCGAAATCGACAAACGGACCGAGCAAGGAATGTGGCGGGTGCCTGGCCGTAAACCCGCCGAACTTGATGAACTTGTGGAGGGAGCAAAGCTCGTCGGATACACTCTTACGCGCCTTGAGAACATGGACCGCCAGAGGCAGGTTCTCTCGGACATGCTTTCGCTTTTTACACCGGAAGGCGGATCCTGCTATAGACCAGGCGTTTCGACGGAAGAAGAGGCGGAAACCGCGCTCTGTGCGGTCAAGTCACAGATTGACCTGGAGAAGATCCAGATCGATTTCCTCCTGGCCAGACTCAGGACACAACAGTCAGTAGTAAGGTAAACCGTTACCTTGTTTATGTAGGCTTTATTTAGGACGGCAGGCGGCTGACAACATCAGTGCTATTTTAACAGTGACACAACCCACCTAAGCCCTCTCCGCTGGAACATAGAGCAGTTGCACTCTTCTTATGGTCTCTTTCGATACAAGGCCAAACATTCTAATCCCGTAGAGCCCTTTTCCGTCCGCTCCAATATTTGATAAGGAGTCGTACTCCAAAGGTCTCCTGGAGCATGCGACGTTCCTCCCATACCCCAGCTCACATCTGCTAACCCTCAATGTACAGATCTTCAACTTGATCAACCAGAAGCACACCAAAACGAGTCTCGAAACTGCCACACAGGCAAGAAACGACAGTGCTTCCATGAAGATGCTAGCCCTCATAGCGACCGTGTTTCTTCCAGGCACCTCCTTCTCAACGCTCTTCGCCGTGCCTTCTCTGCGCTGGGAAGAGTCAATTGTTATTTCCCATCGATTCTGGATATACTTGGCTTTCGTGGTACCATCCACAGTGGTGCTCCTACTTGGTTACTGGTTCGCTGTCTCTCGTTCGAAACGAGTAGCACGCTTCCGCGAGAGCCGCTATTATGACATGGAACAAGGTCCATGTGAAGTTGAAAGGTGACTCTAGTTACAGTTCATGATGTTGGATCGCGTATGTGGTCAACTAGCATAGAAAAAGGAAGATAACGATGCAGAAGCTTTGGTAGAAGTCAGTTTGATGCATCCAGTTGAGTCTAACAGTTGATATGGAGTCCTCCCAATTGCAGAGTGGCTAGGGCAATGTTAAGAGATGACATTCTTGGCAATGGCTGCGCCACACAGCCACTCCAAGGCTGACTAAGTGGCCAATCGCTAAGCGAGCACTCCCATTTTGCGAATTTCGCAGTGGGCACTTACGACTTTTCAACCACGAGCTCGCCCGCCCTCTACCGTCTCACTCTCCGTCCACCCCCTCGAAGAACTCTCAAAAACCGTCAAAATGGGTGGTGTCAGTGTCAAGGACGTCGATGCGCAGAAGTTCATCGTCGCTTATGCCGACTTCCTGAAGCGTCAGGGCAAGCTGCCCATGTGAGTACTCCCATTTGAACTACCCGATAGTTGAGCGTATGCTAACATTTTCCTGTAGTCCAGGTTCGTCTCAACCCTGCGGCTGAAATATTGCCTGAATCCCGTAACTGGGGGATAATTGTACGCTCAGCTTGCTGACCATTTGCGTTCCTTTATCTACAGGCTGGGTTGATACTGTCAAGACGTCGCGTAAGTGGCTCCCGCATAGTGCCCGTTGTGTCGGACCCGATGAATCTTACTCCTGTTTTCAGACTCCAAGGAGCTGCCTCCCCAGAACATTGACTGGTTCTACGTCCGCGCCGCCGCTGTCGCCCGCCACGTCTACATGCGCAAGACCGTTGGTGTTGGCCGTCTCCGAAAGGTCCACGGGTGCGTCAAGCCTGCACATATTGGATGAAGGTGGGGGAGATTTTTGCTGACAACCGGCCCAATAGTTCCACCAAGAACCGTGGCTCCCGGCCCTCCCACCACGTCGACGCCTCTGGCTCCGTCGACCGCAAGGTCATGCAGGCCCTTGAGAAGATTGGCGTCCTGGAACAGGACGAGGAGAAGGGTGGCCGCCGCATCACGCAGTCCGGCCAGCGGGATTTGGATCGCATTGCCCAGACAACGCTGGAGCGGGAGGAGGAGGACGAGGAGTAGATGCTGTGCTTCACTTCAGTAAAAAAAGGGATTTACGGGCTTTGCATGGGTGCGGGGCGATTTATATTAAACGGTTCACGGCTTATGGCGTTCTCACTTGACGCTGGGACATGGCCTAAGTTTTCGAAATGATATCTGGGCTTGGCCTGAACGGCAGATCACTTTTTGTCATTCGGATCGAAATGTGTTATGGAACTGATACCCCTGAAGAGGTTCCTGCATCCGTCGTGACGTGAAGAATCCGAGCATGCACTAGATGAGTCGAGTTGTCTACTGTACGCTCCAATCTAAAATCGATGTCCGCATCCACCCCACTTGCAAATTGCTCTCTTGCATGCGTCCAGTCTATACCTGCTCCAAATCAGAACCTTCCCGCCCACAACCTCCCCATCTTCCCTCCCCTTCCCATCACTTAGAACAGATCCGTCATGGCCCCATGACTAGCATCGCCCACCAACCTCGCATACTTGGCCAACACGCCCCTCGTGACGGTAGGCTTAGGAGGTCGCCAACTCCTCAACCGCTCCTGGATCTCCTCGTCACTAACATCCATATCGATCCTGTTCTTCTCCGCATCAATCGTAATCACATCCCCATCCCGCACAACCGCCACGGGTCCACCCACAGCCGCCTCGGGGCAAATATGTCCGACAATGAACCCGTGACTAGCACCGCTGTACCTCCCATCCGTAATCAGCGCCACATTCGTCAACTTGGCGCCCATGAGCGCGGCCGACGCTTTCAGCTGCTCGGGCATGCCGGGCCCGCCTTTGGGACCCTCGTAGCGCACGACGAGGACGAGGTTCTCGCCGCGGGGGATCCTCCCTTGGTTGAGGGCGGCGTCGAGTTCGTGCTCTTTGTTGAAGACGAGGGCTTTGCCTGTGAATCGTAGGCCTTCTTTGCCTGTGATCTTGGCTACAGCACCTGCAGGAGCGAGGTTGCCTCTCAGGATCTCAATGTGGCCTGTTGGTTTGATGGGGTTCGAGAGGGGGCGAATGATTTTCTGGTCTGGGGGAAGGGAAGGGTAGGGTTCGATGTTCTCGGCCAGTGTTTTGCCTGTGACGGTGGGGATGGAGCCGTCAAGGAGGCCGGCGGCGCAGAGGAATTTCATGACGGAGGGCATGCCGCCAATGTCGAAGAGATCTGCGACGAAGTATTTGCCTGAAGGGGCTAGGTCGGCGAGGAAGGGAATTTTGTTGGAGACACGCTGGAAATCGTCCAGGGTGAGGGGGACGCCGGCGGTGCCGGCCATGGCGAGAAGGTGTAGGACGGCATTCGTGGAGCCACCGAGGGCCATCATCATGACGAGGGCGTTCTCAAAGGAAGCTTTAGTGAGGAGCTTGCGGGGCGTAATGTCTTTCTCCATGCAGATACGGATGGCGGCGGCGGCTTTGGCGCATTCCCGCATTTTGGCTGGTGATTCGGCAGGTGTCGTGGATGAGTTGGGGAGGGTGAGCCCCATTGCTGTCCGGTACGGTTAGTATGGGCATCTTGACGGAATGCAAACCGCAGGATGCCGTCAGAAGACATACCTTCAATGGCAGTGCTCATCGTGTTCGCTGTGTACATGCCGCCGCAAGCCCCGGCTCCAGGGCAGGCGTGCTGCTCGATATCATCCATGATCTGGTCAGGTGTATATTTGCCCTCTTCTTTACTCTCCAGTGTCTTGTAGATGTAGGCGCCATGAGCTTCGTAGCACGTGCTGATATTGATGGGCTTCCGGAGCGTCTCGCTGTATCCCGGTTTGATGGAGCCGCCGTAGACCATGATAGAAGGGCGGTTGTGGCGTGCAAATGCCATGATGACGCCTGGCATATTCTTGTCGCAGCCGGGGATGGCGATGCAGGCATCATGATGCTGGGCGCAAGTCACGGTTTCGATACTGTCCGCAATGATTTCGCGGGTCTGAAGGGAGAAACGCATCCCTGGCAACTTAGTATGCGGTTCAAGTCATGTTGGTACGAAGAGGAAATGTCCGAAGGGAAGATAAAGAGAAGCAGGAATGTAGATTTACGTCACCTGCCTATCCATTCTTGACGACGAAAAAGGGTTAGACTGAGAGTTCGCAAATGAAAACGAACAAACCTTCTGAGCCCATGGTGATACCGTCAGAAACACCAATGGTGTTGTACTGCCAGGCCAGCATCCCATCATTCTGGATGTGCTTCTTAATCTCTTTGCCTAGCTCGAGCACTGCTCTAGTCAGCAAGGAAGAAAGAGATGGATAGGGTGGGCTTAGAGAAGGCCTCAAGTGCGAACCGGAAAAACGGAGGGCGACATACAATGCATACTGCAGAGCCGTTAGCCTTTCGCATCGGTATATTTTTACTCTTCCAGGCGCCACTCACTTGCATGGATTGCCCTCCCACCATACGCTAGCAATGCCAACATGTGGAGCTTTCTTCATTGTTTCTCTATCAGGAACACCGGCTGCATAAAGCATAGCCTGTGTGATAGTGAGTCAGCGGCTATCCAGTGGAAGATCCTCGAGGCATGTACCTGAGCTCCGGGGAAATCATGTCCATTGGTGAGAGCAGAGGAGAATTTGTTGAGAGCAGGCTTCCCGTACCTCATTGTACCATCTGGAAGCTGTCTGAAGGAGAGATATCGAGCTTCCTCGGGTTCATGCCGCTTTTCGGTATTTGCAGGATCCATAGTGCGCAGTCGGTCCTGCGCAACTGGTCGTACGTCAAAGGAAGAAAACGAAAGTCAGACTGCGCACTCGGGAAGATTGAGCAGAACAACAGGCCTTGATTAATTAGTAATGCGCTGGGTTCAGTGATTGAAGTGGAGTAAAAAAAGAGTTGTCGATCAGGTAAGCCAAATAGGGAACTGAGAAGGGCCGCTAGTTTTTGTGGCACGCCAAAGTAACAGATGGGCAGTATTAGCAGAGAAGGGACTTGGCTTAGTCGTCCTGCATTGAGAGATAGAAAGCGTCTCTGATGGCAGCGATAAAATATTCTTGTTGACCTCGGGGCTGACGACTTGGACGCGAGGGGCATGAGGGCCAGAACAAAGGGGTTCTGGTAACCCCTCCATATTGAGCTATGATTCTTAGTGCCTGATAGCGGAGGCCAACAGCCAATGTCCAGACCGACTTTATAAGCGGGTCCGGGGCGTTGAATCAGGCTCACGCGTGGTTCCTTGTATTCCCGTTTTCCAGTTCGCAACATTGAAGGCGGGCCTTGCGGTGCTCGCGTAGGGATGCCGAGCCGTTACCGGAAAAAAAAACTGGAGACATGATCCATGGCTCACCGCATCACGCAGAGACGACCATGATATGAGCTGGCGCATCGAGTGCAGGATTTTCGAGAGACGGATGGCATCAAACCTTTGCTGAGATTTCGGGCGATGCGACTGGACAATTCTTGCCGCATAGGGCAACAACATTCGGGGAAAATTGCTGCACCTAGGTTGAAATACCGGCAGTAGCTTGATGCAGTACCGCGTGGATCTGATAACGCTGTCCCTAGTTACTGGTGCCAGCCATTCTGGTGGATACCCGAATGTTTGTTGCTTGGAGAGTTCGGTGCCATTGATCAAGGAAGACAGTGGACTATTCAATCTGCTTCCTTTGGGTTACCAGTACATATCGTATGGCGTATCGCGCTTTGTGTCGGCCTTTTTGAGAGCTTGAGCACGCAAATCCGACCAAGGAGATGCAGTTGCGAGGGCCGTGCCCTCAGCTGGCATAGTCGCAAGGCATCCGAGTGGGATGGAATGAATGGATGGATATAGCACAGTTGCTCGGACTCATTCTGTATGCGACAAAGTGGTCATAGGCAGACCGGACATCGATGAATCTTGTGCGGGGAAAGGCAGTGGTTTCGATTTGGAGGGGGCTCCAGCCGGATACATGGTGGCTGGGCCTGTTAACAGTTAGTCAAGCTTCAGCAACTCCTGTCCAGAGGCCTTTCGGGTTCCCTTCAAAGCAGCGCGCTCGGAGAGGGAAGTGAAAAATGTTCACAACAATAGGGACGATGAGGAAAGAGATGAGGTCGAAATAGCGGCAGAAGCAAGCAAGCAGCGTCCACGCCAAGCACTCACGATGATGGATGAAAGAGGCTAGCCTCCCCTTGCGCCTCTTCCGCCGTTGGTCCCGCCCGCCGCAGACGCGTCCAAGAGGAGAAACGGGGGGTTCTGACTGGCCTGACATCATCCACGCCAAAACAAAGCTCCTCAATGCATCCTTTTTGATTCCTAGATACTTCACCAGGACACTACTCCGTAGATACCCATCTATCTTCCTTCTCGCAAAGATGGGCTCTGTGTAATCGCCCCTTTCTTCTCGTCTAGTCTAAGTACTTCTTGTCCCCTCCGCTGACAGCGTGCTCTTCTCTTCTTCTCCGCCGTCGAGAAGAACAATGAAGCGGTCCATACTAAACCAAGTCCCAGGCGTCGACAGGATGTTCACCACTCCGTGTCCATCGTAACCTTGACTGCTTTTACATGATTCTGCATGCCATTGCGCATACGCAGCGTCCAGCTGTCCTCGACCCAGCTCCCGATTGTTCTTCACCACACGGCCCGGCACGGTCTGCCCTTGTCCGTTACCATTGGTCCACCGCTCCTCTGAGCTCCAGACACGCAGCCATTCCACGCTCCGCGACGGCGCGCTGGCCACCGAGTATACATTCAGCCTCCTAGCCGTCTGTGCAGGATGGAGCCCAATTCGGATCGCCGCCATGGCACGTTGCCGTTTCCACAGGCCGTCGTCCTGCTGCTGACCCGTCTTGTCAGTGCTTCGAATGGAGAAGCTACGGCCTCGTCTTACACCGCACGTCCAAGTGTCTCCCATAGCGACCATATAAGTACTAGCTTCGGTGCTATTTGGAGGCGGCTGGTCTCCCTTCAGGCCAAAGGGCTAGCTGGAGACTACCGGTATATTGTTGTGGGCATGGGCTTGACAGCAGCTTGCTGCATCGCATCCGGACTCCTCTTCAAATGGACCAAGTCAAAAGACCTGAAGGGGATCCATGCCGGTGCTGAGAAACATGACGACATCTTCGGCGACGGTAAGTAGCTTCCATGTGGGCGGTGAGCATGAATTCCCACAGTCTGGGTCCAGTGCAGTCGCTTCCCCCTTTTCATGTCTACTGGAATTTCATGGCATTGTCCAGTGCTAATAATCACTTCCAGATGCCCGCTCCACAGACCCCGGCTTGCTCAAGAAGCACTCTACATTCCGTTCCTACTCCGTGCCGTCGACAGGCTTCGCCTATCCCGTGATCCGCACCTTCTACCGTCCTCATCAGCAAGAAGACAAGCTCCCAAAGACACCGAGGCCCATACCGCTACTGGTCTTTGTCCACGGCCTCGGGGGATCAAGCGCACAATTCCACTCCCTTCTCATAAGCCTGGCCAATGTTGCTCCCACCCTTGCAATCGATCTCCCGGGATGCGGTCAATCTCGCTTCGAGCCTCGAGATTGGGCTGCCTATACAATCGATGCTCTGGTTCACCTCCTTGCTGTAGCCATTGAAGCACACCGAGATCGAGAGGCGAATCAAGGGGTAGTCCTCATTGCCCATAGTATGGGATGCTCCTTGTCCGCCCTTCTAGCTTCACCAACCTCGCGGCACGCTGCACTCCTTTCCCGCCATGTCGTTGGGTTCGTCGCTCTCTGTCCCCAAGCGGAACCGCTCGATGAAAAGCACGCCGAGATGGCCAGGAAAGCGTGCTCCCTTCCTGCACCAATATTCAACCTATTCCGCAAATGGGATCGCCGCGGAGGCATCAACAGCACCAGCGTATTGCGCATGACGGGACCAGATGCGGATAAGGAGACAAGGAAGCTGCAACTCCGCTTCAATAGGCAGAGTCGGACTCCGGTGTGGCAGCGTATGATGTACGGTACTCTACCAGACCCCAAAACAGGAAAAGGAGGGCTTCCTGGCAGGGATGTCTGGGCCGGATTAGACCTGCCTGTGTACCTTGTGGCCGGCGCCGCAGATACTGTCACTCCGCCCGAGAATGTTTGCAATATCCTGAGATTCATCGGATCCCAAGGCACACTCTCCTTTACGGATATGCTCTCAGATGTTAAAAGGTCGCCAGACATGTCCTCCGCATCTCCGGATGGAAATATTTCGGATGGAACCCTCCTTGAGAAGGCCGTCGACTCGCCGTTGAATGATTCGTCTTCCGATGAATCGTCTTCTGACACCGACCAATTGACACTTCCCGAAGCGGATGCGAAGTTGCTCCAAACTCCACCCTCTGAGAAGGCCGCGCAATCTCAAAGCAGCTCAACAGCGCCCCATCCCCGCCACTCCCACCAAGAAGTCACCATCTTCCCGAAACCCGCCGGTCATTCCCTCTTCTTCGCCCCCTCAACCTCGCGCACCCTCGCCGGCCTCATCAGCAACTTCCTCTCCACCCACATCGACCCCCGCCTCTCCCTCGCCTGGCAACTGCAATACCTCACCACGGAGGGAAAGTGGGACGTCAAGAACCTGGAGAAGTGGAAGGCCGTGCAGCCCGTTTCCGCACCCATAGCGAATACCTTCCGCGCCATGAAGACGCTTCGGGAAGTCGATGAGCGGCATTGTCCTAAGCAGTTTGTCAAGGAGTATTCAGGGCAGATCCGCGCGGTGGTGGATATCAGTCATGACCAACCGGTGTATGATCCAAAGGGCTTGGAGGAGGGAGGGATCCGGTACTACAAGTTCCCTACTGTGTCGAAGCTACCACCTTCCGCGGAGGAAGCTACTGACTTCATCGCCCTCATAGAGCGCATTGAGGCGGAGAAGGCAGCAGAGGGGCAGCAAGGCCTGATTGGTATACACTGCCATTACGGCTTCAATCGCACCGGCTTCTTCCTGGTCTGCTACATGGTTGAGAAGTTGGGGATGGGGGTCGAGGAGGCGATCGCCGAGTTCAAACGCGCGAGGCCACCGGGCATCAGGCATGCCCACTTCGTCGATACGCTGCATGTGAGGTATCATTTGGGTTTGGATGGCAGGTGAAGGGTTTCGGTCGGCGTTTGGGTTTTCTACTGGGGCCAATGGGATGGGACTCAGCGTGGTGTTTTTGGCGTTTGGGTGGGGATGGGTAGAGGAAATAGGGAAGGGAGTCTAGGCGTAGGTCTCTCCGGGGATTAGGTATGGGGAAATGGGCAGTTTTAGATCTCTGGGTCGGGATATCAATGCATCTATCGTTCTGGTTCGACTACGTTTGTCAAAGAGCTGTGTAGGTGCCCTTCTTGGTTAGCAGATAGACACGAGGAGTATCCTCAAGATGCGTATAGCCGCTCATGAATGAAGGCTATGGCTGTGAATGGAAACGTCTCTACTAACGATGCAAAGTAGGGGCTCGCTTTGTATCCAGCTTGGGCGAATAGGCACCTTCACCTCTTGAAATGGGGTTTCATTGCACCTAGTGCTCTAGGTTAACTGACTTAGATGATCTAGCCAGGAGTATCCATAAAGCATTATGTAAAAGAGATGTGATAATATCGGAATAAAACTTTCAGAACTACATTCAAAATCAAAAAATGACAAGGCTTGTTTGGATAAGCCGTTTGCGATGGAAGTCCATTGTAAGAAAAAAACAGCCACTTCTAGCAATTCAAATACCTGCCCTCCAACCCGGAAAAATGAAGGCGAAGAGTCCCAGATGTTCAATTGAAACGTCGCCTCTGATAATCGGTTTCGCGTGAGGCAAATCTGGGTCCGAAGAACCACCGCTCTCCTCCAGAGCGTAGTACTGTGTACCATACCCAAGTCCATTCCCAAACCTTCGAGCCGGTAGATTAACATCCCCATAGATGAAGGGACTACGCCTTCAAATCGTGAAAGAGATCTTCATCCAACATCTCCAATCAGCATGTCCAGAACACCCACACCGCTTGCAAAGCACGGAAGACGGGGCCATATTCCTGGATCCATCGATCTCTGGAGATACAACTGGCGGCGAGGAGAGTGTATCGCGCTCCGCGAGGCTTGACTGCAAATGAAAAGAGTAGTCGTCGGCGATGGGACCAGAAATACCAGCCTTTGAATTCCACGGTGTCGGGTGCCCCATCGGACAATCGTTAGCACGTTTTCTAAAGTAAGCCCTCGTGTTGCGCCTTGGGCGCTCATTTGCGGCGCCTCCGGCAGCACTGTTGCGATCATGATCGCCGTCACGCTCTTTGGGAGCCATTTGGGCGCAAACTGCAGCGTGCTGGCTGTCTACAGGTGTTGTAGAGCTGCCGGAGGCGCCGGTGAAGTAGATGGCTTTGGACGCAAGCCATCTACTTCACGGTTGGTCGGCTTAGGATCCTAGATGTGTACCATGCCCAAGTCTAGGCAAATGGTCGGTCTCGGGGGAATCGGTTCTCTCCTTTCGCGGGCATAGAGCCCTGTGTGTACCATACCCAAGTCAAGGGTGATTGGGGTAGCGAGTGTCGCTCTCTTGTGCAATGGGCCGTGAAATAGTACAGTGTGATGGTGCTCTTGAAGTCCCATAAAAATCCGGGGCAGAGGAAGTATAACCGCATCTTCCCATGGATCATCGCTGGCAGCGATGGTCAAAATGTCGGGGAGGAATGGCATCCTCACTCGGCACTTTATACCTCCCTCACCCCAACCATTCGATACTTCAACTGCTTGATTTCCCGCATGGTGACGGTGACGATCCAATGTGTACCATTCCCAAGACATGGAGTGCGAACTCAGTCTGCTGACAGACCTCGGCCTTCTGGTGCTCGGCGGGACCCGTACATGAGTCGATCCACCTCCGACTTCTTGAGGGCGACTGTATACGTCATTCCAGGGTGGTATCCCGATATGTACCATTCCGTCACAGGCTCAGTATTCTGTACGTATGCAGAGTCGTACATGAGTCGATCCATCTCCGACTTCTTGAGGGCGACTGTATACGTCATTCCAGGGTGTGCGCCCCGATGTATACCATTCCCAAGCCATGGCGCGCAACATAGTCCCTAGCGTACATCCAGTCTTCTGTACTCGGACACTGACTGTCGCACCGAGAGTCGATCCATCTCCGACTTCTTGAGCGAGACGGATTGGTCATTCAAGGTGCGACCTGGCCCCATGGAGAAGAGCGCCTTCTGCTCCAGAGAGGCTGACTGTAGGTCATTCAAAGTGGTCGGCGGGGGTAGGTCTGCGGCGTTATCCGCTTGGTCGAACTCGACCGTCGCGATAACAGCGAAGTCGTGCCTGTGTATATAAGACGTGCAGATGCGACCTATCTCGACACCCTGAGAGATCTGCTGCAAGAAGACAGTACGCTTTGTCCTTATTGGAATCTTTGATGCGCAACTGGCGCTTGACAGCGGATGAGCGGCGGCCGCTGGAAAACGGTACCGGTGAGTTTCCAAGGCGCGTGCGAACTGTGTTTCACCTCCAGGGAGTTTGTCGTGGAGGCGGATGAAGCGCCCGTACTCGTTTCCGACTCCCTACTAGGATTCGATTGGCAAGCTCTTTGCGTTGGTGCTACCGTTTAGGATGTTCACCTGCCGCGATGTGAACAGCCTTGTGGTTCTTAACAAGGTTTCCATTGGCCCGGCGTCAAGGAGAGCAACGACGGCGGCTGTCTCCTTGCTCGAGCAGGCATGTATGTTATTAGGCGCAGTAGCCCTTTTCCACGCTCGTGGGCACAATGATGAAGACGTTGGCTTCGGTGGTGTATAGGGATTGAGAGCCGGCGTTCGGACATTGTTCAATCGGCCTACGTCTTCATAATTTAGAACCAAGAAGAGCCATAGAGAGGTATGTGAGCACTTACCTCTACTTCCTCGTTTGCCTGCTTATGTCCAGCGATGACGAGCCATGCGTGTCGTGTGGGTGAAGACTGCGTCACCATTTCCAGTGTAGCACCGCGTTGAATTCTTCCACGGTCACCATGGGCAGGCCCAATCCGCAAGTCTCTTAACAGATCAAAGAATGATGCTGTCGAAAGGAGCGGGTAGGTGGAGCGTTTTCCGAGGAGTAATGCTCTTTAGCATAGCCACGCTTCAAACAGATGCTCTGGCGGGAGGTAGGGTGGAGGTGGAGGGCGTATTGATCCACAACCCCCGCTCGTCCCGTCATAGAGAGGGCTTCTAGAATTCGAGCATGCGGTAATAGCCTCAACAATTACCGCAGTGTCGACCGTGGTAGGAACCCGTAAAAACCTGTCTTAACGCGTTATTGGAGTCTCAAAAAGAGCATCATTTGCACGCGTACCTTGTCGAATGCAAGCGTCTGAGCCACGTATGTCTTCACTCTTGTACAGTGGCCTCATTGGACGAAGCTCATGCAGTACGAGCCCCCCGAAAAGAACAAAGCTGCCTCGTTTCCCGGCGAGAGCGCGTTGGCCGATTACAAATTTGCCCAGGGAGGTGCAAAACACACCGGAGCTGAAAAGGTGTCAAAACAAAGCTCCAGTCTCAAGCCGGGAACTACTCAAGTTAGCTGTGTATCGAAGACGCCAAATCTCACCGTCATGGTCGAACAGGGAGGAGACGACGAGAACTCACGCGTGCGGTAGGATATGCAGCCCGTCAGTGAGCAGTGTCCTATTGAGGATGCAGTGGAGCTGGAGCGGCGGAAAGGCGACGAACGAGATAAAAAAGGGCCGACTCTCAGGCAGAGGAACTGACAGAGAGGCTCACTCCAGCAGCGGAAAGGCAGCAGTGGAGCAAGGGGTTACTGGAGAAAGCGGATGATGAAAGCAGAGTTTGTAGGGAGATAAACGATGAAGTCTAGACTGGGACGCGAGACGCTGAAGATGCAACGGTGGAGAAAAGAGGTGAGAAGTTGCTTCTGAGAGGAGGGGAGACTGAGGCAGCGAGGCGTTTTGCCAAGCCCACCGCTCAGTCTACAGTGACAGTGAAGGGAACAAGCAAGAAGAGTGGGCTCGTGCACAGGCCAGTCAGGAGACGTTGAGATATGTTTAAGCTATCATCCAGATTCGGAGAGCCGTATGAGGTATTTGAGAGCTCTTCCCCGTCGTCCTCTGCTCAAAGGGCGTCAGCAAACTTCTGTTTACAAGGCGAGTCTTCAAGGAGATATGGCAAGTGGCTCACCCCCAAACTTGAGGATGCAGCTAACACGTACAACGGACTTGTGCTCAGCTGCCAGTCCTCTTACCAAAACGGTATCTATGGCCTTACAGCCCGCAGAAGCTTCACTTGCTACGGATTCTCCATAAAGGTCGGGACGTGAAGCAACCCACGCATCCCCGCGCTGTTCCTTGCCGCCTCCCGTCGATGACACTTGGATACTCGCCGTTTCTCCGTGCCTGAACTCGTCACTCATAATATCTCTTGAAGTGCGTATAACGATGGACTTGGGAAGGATCAAACAGAAGGTGTTCACCTCCCCAACCCACATTGCCATGGAGACCTACATAAAGACCGTGGATCGCAGCTACTACGGCTCTTTGACAGCACACTGTGGGATATATACAACGTGGGCAGGTCAGTACTGGCCGGGTGACGCCGAAAGCTCTTGTCTGGACCACATTAATATCTAGTAGTGGCGCTGCTGGAGAAAACCTACTACAAATTGAACCCTTCATTGCCATCACAGTTTTCTGTACAGGACAACGCACAAACTCTAATTCCAACACCAAGCGTTTTTCATGCATCAGTCCATGATCATGAACATGATTGTGATCCCCTATGGTCTGTCATGACTGGGCATTATCAATTCAGACGTTAATGTATGCCTTAGCAATAGAATGGAAAATGCGGAATGGACGGAACAGTTCAGACGAATAGAAATATAGAAATAAGAAGCTACTTATACAACAGCTCTACCCCAAAGCTAAACCTTCCAAAACATCGGTCAAGTTGACCTCAACAACTTTATCCCACTCACGCTCCGGTCCCCAAGTGATCCGCTTGTTCTGAGCCTTACTCATATTTACCAAAGCCTGCAAAAGCGGAGACGACTTCTTGATACCCGGGTACGCGTCGAACTCCACTTCCGCAAACGAAGGCACCTGGCTAAACAACGCCCCCACCATCGCCTGACAAAACTCGGTATAGAAGGTCTCGCTGGTGCGGAATCCCTCGAATATCTCGTGGGCGGCGGGATCCAACTCCACGAAGATCTTTAGCACCCGTAGCTTCCTCGCATCCGAGAGCCCCAGACGACCATCTACCACCCATCCACGCGGCGGCTTTGTCCACCCTGGTCCCAACCTCAGCTCTGCCTTTGTCATGAGCGCACGGTATCGAGTGGGGAGCCGGGTGAAAAGAGGCTTCTTGTGATTGATGAAGCGACCGTGTATGGGAAAGATGCGGAAAGTGTTGCGGCCGTAGAAGACACGGCAGGCTTCGTCGTGCATGCGATGGCTGACTAGGAAGAGTCTGAGGAGAGGACGGATGTTACGGTAGTTCATGGGATCAAGGTCGATGGTGCGAGGAAGGAGAAGGATGAGTTCATAGACGCGGAGTCGCAACTCGAATGGAAGATCGAAAAAACGGAACGGTGGCTTCGCAGCCGGCTCGATGTGCATGCCCTCCATTAGGCCGGCCAAATCATCCACGTCCATTCTCAGAAGTGCCCCGGGATGGGCACGTCAGGTCATACAGCCATTGCGGCGACTGATGAATGAAAGTGCAGAGAGGCGATTACGAGTTAGGATGTCTCGAAGCTACGGGACCAGCAACCCATGGAAGGAGGGGAAGGCAGTTCTTGGGAGCAAAGAATTTTCTCTCCCCAGCTAATACAACTCCAAGCCCATACAAAAGTGAGTCTGGAGTCAAATTAATCTGGGTGTTCAACTTTCAATGAGGAGAGGAAGAGGTGTGGAGATCGGCAGATATTTATGGCGAGGGACGCATGACTAAACACTGAATAAGCTTCACAGCGTCGCGTTCTTTCCACCGTCCAACCAACCAATCGTCACTAACTTCGCACTATCATGGAACTCCCATTGTGAACGGATGAATGACTCTTCACAAAATGTGCGTCTTTCGAGACCTGGAGCTGTCCAAGGGCCGGCTTTGTAGGCTCGTGTTGTTAAAGCCACAGACCATCAATTGCAATTGCAAGCATCCCGACCCAGCACCTCAAGCGTACCAAGCAGAAAAGGGGCATCACAAACCTCCTGTGTCACACGTTGTACACCTGTATTCACTAATATGATGCATACGCACGACCAGCTTCCAATAGCTTAATTGCAGTCGAGTTTTCCCGAGTGGGGATATTCCCAAAAACGGCGGCTGGCACACTGTGATATCGGAATAAAAATCGAAACCCTTCCTACTTATTCCAACACTATCTAGGCCCAGCGTAGACCGCGTTGTTCGGTTCAAGAGGGTGCTAGGTGCGAAGTAGTAATTCTCCAGAGCAACTATCCAAGTCCGGCTATGCGAATGCTTTCTGCCCACCGGAAACAATTCTTCCCAGAGGATTGCATTCCGCGATGCCCAAGTTTTAAACCAAAGGCGGAGACACCAGAAGACTCCTCGCGCATCATCATTGCAGGCCACGGAGCCGATACCACTGTTTTCGCACGTCGGCGAGCACGGCAGCATCGTGTAAAGTTGAGTTAGGACCTCGCAACATCACCACCAACTCTGTCACCCCTTGCTAACGGACTTATCGAAATTCTGGGAGAGGAGCGGGAATTTAGGAACTGGAGTCCTCGAAAAATTCTGGGTGAGCCGGAGGATATTGCCGGCGTGATGGTGTACCTGGCGTCGTCGAAGGTGCATATGTCAATGGTGAGGACGTCGTGTTGGACGGAGGAGTGAGATATTGCCAGGGAAGACAGTCGAATATCAGGGTTGGATTATGACGGCGTTTACGGATGAAGCTATTCACCTACCCACGGTGCCATTGAGGAGTAAGTACACGTTACGGAACCGTAATGCGTTGAGACTGATTTTGGAATCATCGTTGGTAGCGTTGATTAGCTCGATACCAGCTGCAAGTGACGCTACTCGAGGAGGACGGCATTGACGTAGCTCTAGGAACATCTGGAAGATGTGTATCTCAGCGGCCTGAATATCTGCATCTGATACTTGAGGAACCTGCAAGCGACAGAGGAGTTTCTTCATCTACTAGATAGATAGTTAGAGATGGGACATGTTGCTATTGTGTAGGACGGTTGAGTCTGGACCGTTGACTGTGAGGAGAAGTACGCATGATAGAGTAGATTCGTACCTATGTAGTCTCACCTCGACGAGAACTCATCACAGTCAGCGCACTTCGAGTCGCTCTCGCAGATCTAGAAGCCGTGCTTCTCAGTTCGACTCTATTTGTGGATTCGGCCGCCGTTGACATGGCACTGGACGGGTAAGAGTGGCCACGGTGCCTAGGTCGTTATCAATGACAACTTCAAGGGCAAGATGACAGGGGACCATATCCATGCGTACATACAGGTTCAGGTAACGAAGCATAGATAGCTTGTGGGGAAATGGCTTTCCGTTGACAAAGTCCCCAGCTACAGGGTTGAAAGCTCATGAAGAAGGGTGCTCAAGGAATAGGTCAAGACGGATGCGGCTATGAAGGGACATATGCCAGACGTCAGAGTTGGTAGGAGTATCTTGTCAAGCTTATACCAGGCGCTCCTTGACTTCAGAAATGCTCAAGCAATCTTGAACATAATCTCTCGTCCACTCATGCGTGAAGAACCTCGAACATCTCTTTCTATTCAGAGCTTCTTGGAAATATTTGCGACACAATCGGAAGTTGATATCTATGATCCCCTCTAGATATAACATCTGGATATCATGGCCTGTCAGTAATCAAGTATGATTGTACACCTAGTAGAAAGCGGACTGTGAGAAGCAGCTCAAAGTTCCAACTTCATCGCATGGCATTATCCATCCCTCGAACCTTAGTATACAACCCATACGTGTCCATTCGACCTCGTACAAACAGTGTTCACACCAGCAGAGAAGCAATCCTGCTCATGATAGAATAGAATGAATTCTGCATACCAACCTACGCACCCTATCCTGCGTTGCATCGTGGGATTTTCGTTTTCTTAGACCCTCCCATACCGCCCTCGTCGATCCCACTCAACTCGGGCCTTCTCTCGATCATGGAGCCGGCATGACGTGGTAGGAGGAGTGGTGTGCTACGCGGGTATAGGAAGTAAATGGACAGTACACAAGACCTCCTTCTATCCCAAGCCGATCCTCTCACTGCGGAAGTGCCAATATCCATACTCTTGCGACGATCGAGTCTGATTTCCCATGTCCCATCCTCGTCGTTAGCATGTTGCGTTTCCCGCGTCGGCGCTACTCAGTGATGACGGCGGTTCGAACGGCGCGGATACCACGGTTCCATTTGACATCACGGTATACGTCACCTAAACCTCACCTACAAAAGGCTGCAAATCCCCATCACTCTCCATCACTCCTTCCATCCACACCACTCTCGTGCTTCGTCTCTATCCAGCTGCCCACACTGCGAAGCATCATATCTCGTGACGCCATACCCCACATATTCTTTACCCTGACACATCCACCATGGCTCAAACCAACTCCGGGCTCGTCTATCGGGGAGGCGATGAGGCCCACGGCACCAAGGCCAGCGACATCCTCGCCACGCTGCGCGACCACACGGCCGTCGTCCGCATGCTCATCGGCCCCGATGTCCTGTTGAGCCAAGTCAGTGGATACGCGGGCACGACAGTCTACCATGTGTCCGACTCAACTGAGGTTTCTGTAGCGAACTTTGGAGCCGGGGAGTTCAAGGTGAGTACCCATTCCCCCATTTGCCAAGGGAGTACCGAAAGCTGACGTCGACGGCAGTTTCACTATCACATCGGCTTGACGGACCTCGCCAGAGGAGTGGCCTTCCATGCCTCCGGGAGATGGGACCTCGGGGAGCTAGCGATGGTTGGCGAGTGGCACGCTACCGGCGAAATGATTACACAGACTGCGATGGCTCGCTCGGAGAATCCCGGGTTTAGGGCGGCGATGGAGCAGGAAATGAGCACGAAGTATGCTGCCGCCCATCAGAGATGGCTCCGCCTCATTTGCCCCCGAGAACAGATTGAGGAGGACGAGGAGGCGAAGATTGCTGCGGCGCAGAGCCAGCTGCCAAAGCGCGGGTTCTTTCAGAGGCTGAAGAAGATCACGGCGCTCCTCAAGAAGAAGCGGAACGCCCTCGGGAGCCTGTGGATATAGAGAGTGTGGTAATGCGGGGTAAGGATGTGCACCCCTCGGCGACCGATAGGGTCATGTTTTGAAGTCGAGTTTTAAGCGGATGAGGAGGGAGAAATAGGAAATGGTGATGGACTGGTCGACCTGATTTGGATGCGCATTTGTTGTCTGGAGGATATAACCTAATGTGTAATGTGTAATAGTTGAAGATTGGGAGTGTAGTACATACCGTGACGCCTATTCTTCTTCTTCTTCTTCTTCTGCAGTTGGTGATGTTTCTGTCGTGGTGTGTGAGTGTGAACCCCACCGTGTGACCAGATCGGCGGCTGAACAACGTCATCCTGGCAGGGGCCCTATCACCGTCCCAAACAACACCCGACGACCTTGTTATTCCCAGCTCGACTTCCTACACCAACCTTTGGCCTCGAACGCTTGAAGCTTGCAGCGACAACTCGCAGCCATGGCAGACGACTACGAAGACCTCATTGTCCGCATTCCTCGACTCCAGCGTGGATGAGGCGAGGCTGACTCGGTGACAGGAGCTTGGGTTTGAGGGGATGGACAAGTTGGCGGGCAGGTACTACGATAGCATGTACGGGTGGGTTGCGAAACGACGGCATCCGTCCCATGGGGAGGGCAGGGCGCAAGGAAAAGGTGGGCAGCGAGGGCAGGCCGAGAAATGGAATGAAGCTGGGGGCAGAAGAAATGAGACAAAGAGCGGTGCTGAAGAGGAGGACCAGCTCCAGGGGGAGGAAGAAGGGATTCGTTACGACGACTTCAACGATTACCGTGGGGGGCGCTACATGGCTCCATATTGGGAGGGGCATGATGTTGCGGTCAGTCTGGTGACATGCCGTGCAGCTTTGCTCTGGCTCTGACTTTGGCGCAGCGGCGGCGGATATCCCAGACATCCCAGCCTTCCTATGGCTACGCGGAAAGGCCATTCAGGGATGGTGATCGAAGGCGGTACGCGGGGGACATGAGGGCAGACGATGGAGGCGGCCGGCAACTGCGGCGACGTGCGTCATCCTATTCGCCGCATCGTGAGCATCAGTACTTGTCTGCAGAGCGCAGGCGGAGACACTCGAAGCCGGCAGACGATGACCGGGTGACTGCGACACTCATGGGGGCTTTGGCAGGAGGTCTTATCGGCGGTGCAGCCCGGAGTGGTTCGATGCTATCGACATTGGGAGGCGCAGTGGTGGGTGGCATTGCAGCTCGGGAAGGGGACAAACTCTACGATCGGCTGGAGGAGAGGAGAGACGAGCGCCGCGAACGACGCAGGAAGGGCGAGCATTGATACAGCAGTAGTCTAGTTCAAGTGGGAGCTGGATGGGGAGCTGGATGAGGAGGTACGTGTACGTGTATTACATAAGCAGACTAGCTTCGCGATGTGGAACATGGGACAACCCAATTCCCCCAGACAAAGAGGGGATGAGGACACGCGGCGGCTGAGTAATTATAGATGGTTCTGATATGATACCCTGGAGGTTGACACGGATTGGGCACTGAGGTGAGACGACAACTTTGAGCAGAGAATGAATCGCTGGCGCTTGAAGAAGAGATGAATACCAGAAGGAATCAGACAAGCCGAGTGCACGTACATGAATCTCGCAACGAGATATTTCCCTAACAAATTAAATCATTACATAGATAGATGCAAACATGTGTTGCTGGGCACTGCCGCACGGGACGAACCGCGCCGTGAGGGCACTGACCGGTGAGCTTATTACGCTGAAGAAGGTTTATTTCTGGCTCCACGGAGGCTTCATTCTTCACCAGAGGCCGCTCGTGCTCAACATGCGCCTTCGTCCCCCCCTGGATGACCTTCTAGAAGACTTCCTCTTTTGCTGTTGTGCGCGTCGTAATTGGTAATTCTCGTCTGTAGGCGTGCGCTGTGCGTGTGCACTGTGCTTTTCTGCCCCGCCAGCTCTCTTGACCTCTCACCTCTCTTTCATCTGCAGCCTTCATCTTCCCTGCTCAGCGACTCCAACAAGAGTACACACCTTTTATTTCTACCATTGTGGAATCTCTCCTCGCTGCAACGCTAACCCCCGTACTGCGACTGAGCTCGCGCCACGGCTAAGGGACCGAGACCCGCCGTCGCGCAGCCCGCTCCGCCCTACCGGACTAGCAGCCCGCAATCTCTCCACCCACTCGTCACCACCGCCTCTGCTACTTACACACCAAGACTCACCTGTTGACCCGCCTTCAAAACACTCCACCACCCCACCGCGCAACCAATCCTCGCAATTGTTACCGCTCCTCTACCTGCGTAGCTCCCCCGCGGCTGTCCTCTGCCATGCCATGAGGCCGCGCTGATCCTCCCTCTAATTTCCCCACACCGCACCTTCAAGAGCTCCCGCGTCGTGCCAGCCAACCCGCCTCCACCCCATCTCTCGTCTCGCCGTTTCCTCCCCCACTCCACATCAGACGAAACGCCATGCGACGGTCGACCCAGGCCCTGGCCGCGCGTCTGAATGGCGCTGGGCAAGACCCCTTCGCGACCATCCGCGCCTACGAAGCCGACGCGAATCCCACCAAGCCAACCCGCCCGTCACCCTTGACCGTGACCACACAGGGTCTACCGCTAGACCTCCTCAACCGCCTGCGCTCCTTTCCGCTGTTCTTATCCGCCCCCGACGAGTTCCTCCAGGCCATCGGCATGCACCTGAAGCCCCAGGTCCATCAGCCCCACGACTACATCCTCACCGAGGGCGAGCCCGCCAAAGCCATGTACTGGCTGGTCCGCGGCGCTGTGCGCGTCACCTCTCGCGATGGCGAAAGCACCTATGCAGAGCTCAAACCGGGCGCCTTCTTCGGCGAGATTGGCATCCTCATGGACATTCCCCGCACTGCCACCATCATAGCAAACATGCGTTCGCTGGTTGTGCGACTCAACAAGGAGGACCTCAAGAAGGAGCTCCCCCGCTTCCCCCATGTCGAGCGTGCCATACTCGACGAGGCCAAAGAGCGTCTCGCTATCCTGGAGCGCAAGAAGAAGGAGATTGCCGGCACGGCGACGAAGCACCCCGTCAGAGCCCTGGTGTCACGCAGCGGAAAGCGCACCCGAGACCGAGTCGACGGCGACGTAGACATGGCCGAGACCGGAGTCGTGAGAGACGGAGAAGTCGTCAGCGCCTACAAGAAGAGGAAGTCTCCGAGTCCTGGCCTGGCCGAGGCCGCCGCCCTGAGCGCATTTGGCAGCTCGGGCGTCAACGTCAGACTCCTGCTCAAGGAGCTCCCCCTCTTCTCCAGTTTGCCCCCAGATATTCTCCACTGGATCGGTTTGGAGGCTGTCCCTCGTTCCTTTCCTCCCTTCACCGACATTATTCAGCAGGGCACGCAGGGCCGCGACGTTTACTTCATCGTCAGGGGCGAAGTCGAAGTGGTCAGCACAACACCTCCACAAGAGAATGGGCACACCCCCGTGAATGTGGGCCGCAGAAACTCGATTGCTTCGGGGGAGCAGAACTTTCCCCAGCAGGTCAAGGCCCGGTTACGCGCAGGCCAATACTTCGGCGAGGTCGTAAGCCTGTCGCTGGCCCCTCGTCGGACGGCCACCGTTCGATCCATCTCCTCCGTCGAGTGTCTCATGATCAGCGGAGACGTCCTGGACAAGCTATGGCAGCGATGTTCTCCGGACCTGCGCGAGCAAGTCGAGAAGGTGGCGAAGGAGCGACTCCAGGCGGCCAGGGACACAGACATCACCATGATGGACGTCTCACACGATCCCCCCAAGATCGACGAGTTGGCTATTGCCGACATCAACGTGCCGCGCACTCCGAGGAAGAACAGCGTACCCGTAGTCACATTCAGCGAGACTCCGACCATGATCGACAGCCCGACGAACCCGTCGCGAGATACATCCGTCATCGAACCTTACGACCCGGACCCCTTCCTCAACCCTGACCTGGACAATGTGCGGTCGAGATCACGGAGAGGCTCACTGGCGCCTCCCACCCCTGATTTGCCCACAAGTTCCTCCGACTCTCATCCCAAATCGCCATCTCCGAACGGAACTCCACTCTCGCCTTCACCCATACCCAAGCACACGTCCACTCCGCCAGAGCCGTTTGGCAGTTTCAAGAGACCAAGGATAATACGAAGGCCCAGCCGGCACGGGAAGGGCAAGCTGCCAGACAAGATCCTAGTCAAGATCTTCAGATACCTAGACGTCTACGAGCTGATGCTGTTACGACGAATCTCCATGCACTGGCTGAAGCTGATAACAACCTCCCCCGACATCCTACACACCTTGGATCTTACCAGGTACAACCGTCGAGTGACGGATCGCGTCCTTGTAGGCACCATCTGCCCCTTCGTCGGCAGCCGCCCTACCTACGTCGACATCAGCAACTGCTTCCACGTCACCGACGAAGGCTTCTCCGCGCTGGCAGCGACGTGCGGTCCGGGAGCCAAAATCTGGCGCATGAAGAGCGTGTGGGATATCACCGGTCCCGCCGTCGTAGAAATGGTGCAAAAGGCCAAGGGACTTGAAGAAATCGACCTCAGCAACTGCAGAAAAGTCGGCGACAACCTCCTCGCTCGCGTGGTCGGCTGGGTCGTCACCGAACCCTCACCAGCAATGCTCGCCCAGCAAGCTCACCAGCAAGCCATGCAAGCCCAGATGAACGGCCGCCACCGCTCCTCCTTTGGCCAGGGCCAGGCTCAAAAACCTCACTTCCAGCAACAACCCCAACCACACCCCCAACACCCACCACCAGGCACCGTCTTTGGCTGCCCAAAACTCAAACGCCTCACCCTGAGCTACTGCAAGCACATCACGGACCGCAGTATGGCGCACATTGCGCACCACGCGTCGCAGCGCATCGAGCAGATGGACCTGACGCGGTGCACCACCATCACGGACCTAGGCTTCCAGCACTGGAGCGCGTATCAGTTCCCGCGATTGACGAAGCTGTGCCTCGCCGATTGCACGTATCTGACCGATCAGGCGATTGCGAGTTTGACGCACGCCGCGCGGAATTTGCGCGAGTTGGATTTGGTAAGGACCCCATTTTTCCCTTTTTTTCTTTCAAGCTTCCTGGTGGTGATGATGTTGAACATTACTGTCGTCATTATTGTCCCCCATTGTGGTGGTGGTGATGGTGATCATCTTCGGCATTCCGAACCGCAAATCGTGATGATGATGGTGACGATGCTAACACAATCTACAGTCCTTCTGCTGCGCCCTCTCCGACACGGCAACCGAGGTCATCGCCCTCGGCCTCCCGCTCCTCACCTCGCTCAACCTCGCCTTCTGCGGCTCCGCCGTCTCCGACACGTCCCTGCGCAGCATCTCGCTCCACCTACTCGACCTCAAGCGTCTCTCTGTCCGCGGCTGCGTGCGAGTGACGGGCACCGGCGTCGAGGCTGTGGTCGAGGGCTGCAGGGAGTTGGAGGTTTTTGATGTGAGTCAGTGTAAAAATCTGCAGGGGTGGTTGGATCGGGGAGGTGTAAGCGGGGTGAGGGCTAGGGGGAGGAAGGTCAGGTTCGAGATAGTGGCGGATGGGACGTGGAGGGTGGGGAAGAGGGGGTGCTGGGAGTGAGGGGATGGGGAAGGGAAGAACAAGAGGTGTTGTTATGATTGATTGAGAGGGAGGGGAGGGGAGGAGGCGTTGATGTGAGAAAAAAGGGGGTGAATGATTGTGACGACCATCTACCTGCGTACTTCGGTTTGGCGAGCGATTTGTTGCGATTGTTGCGATTTGCGATACATTTCGATGGGGTTCTGCTATCTATGTGGGCATCTACAGGCGCAAGTGGTTTATCTTAAGAAGGGAGATTTTGGACAATTGTCTTTGCTCTTCGGTTATTTTTCAGAAAGCTAGAAGGAGGGTTATTGGCGTTGTTTCGTCCTCTGTTTTTCTTATTTTCAAGCTGCTAGTTGGTTGGGCTTTGGATGTTGTTGGTTTTTACCCTTGGGTATAGCGGAGCCAGTTGTTGATAGATACCATGAGCTTTTGCTTGCTTTGTTTGCTCAGTTTGCTGCGCACCTCCGTGTATCTGAGATATGAGATATCACTCGTGAGATTTCAAGTTTCTTACATAGCATATTTGCATTGCTTGTTCCATCGCCCTATGACGTGGAGGGTCATCCGGCTGGCTCTATTCTACTACACCAGCTTTTCAGTGTCATGCTCATCCTCTCCTTCTCGAATGTCAAATCCTACACTCTAGTCTGATCACAGCATTTCCGAGATGCTGGCTATCTCGCTCTCGCTTGATAGGTGTCTTTGTCTCAAGTTCCCAGCTCGAAAGGGGTTGCTTCTCATGGCCGTGGCGCTGGGAGGACGCGGGACAGATCGCGCGTATGCTGATGGTAGGAGGAGGGGTCTCCCATAGCGGTGATGCTGCCTTCGCAAGGCTCGACATGGTCAAAATCCCACTGTCCAAGGGCAGCATCAATCGACATCGTGCCATTCCCGGTCCCGTGCGCTCACTGAAGAAGGAATGATTATCCCTTGCGAACCCATTTCCACCGCATCCCTCACGCCGCATACCTCCTCCCATACCCCTTCACCACGCCATCCAAAATCTCCTTCATCCGTCTACAACCCTCGACTGCCACCGCCAGCATCCCCTCGACCCTCTCCTGCCTTACCCTCGTCTCCATGACCAAAACGCTCACCTTCTCGCCGACCATTCCCACCGTTAAGAAAGGCAACTCCATTTCCTCCAACCCGTTCAAATCCAGCAACGGGTCGTCGCTCCCTGCACCCTCTGCGGATCCTGCAGAGGCGGTCGAGGCGGCGGTGCAGGCGACGAGGTAGTTTGTCATGGGGATGCCGGCGTCGATGAGGGCGAGGGTGGCGGCGTTGATGCAGGCGGCGAGGAGGGAGCCGTCTTGGGAGAGGATGTGCAGGTGGAGAGAGATGGTGCTGTGGGGGTAGAGGTGGGTGAGAAGGAGCGTGGTGTAGGCGGTTCGGAGCGTGTGTTGGAGTTCCAGTGTGCGTCTGAAGTCGCTGGTTAGTTCTTGGGTTCAAGGGGATACATCAAAGGCGGAAGGGCAAATGAAGGATCGGTTTGGACTGGGGAACGTACTTATCAGCCCTCCTCCTCCGCCTCTCCACCCCACTGAACCCGGCGAACCCAATCTCAACTTCCACCTTCGCCTCGCCATCCCCGCCTCCTCCTGTCGCCTTCCCTCCGCCCGTCTGCCCGCCCTGCCCATACCGAATCTCCGCCGGCCCCGTGACCGTACACAGCACCTTGGTGTTGCCCAGTTCAAAGTACGAGGACCCGTCGGCGGCGGCTTGCACGCTGAGCTGCGCGTGGATGCGCCGGAGCTCGTTCCAGCGGCGGCCGTCGAGGCGGAGGAGGGCGAGGGCGTAGGTCGAGGTGTCGAGGGGCATGGTTCTTGTTGGGGTATCCTCTTGGGATTTTGATTTCTTTGCCTTTACGTTCCCTGGAAAAATGGAGGTATTCTCGTCTGGGCCACTGCAAGATTGGCCAATTGGTAAATTGGACGAAGTGGAAGGTGTTGTTTGCGTACTCGCTGCCCGCTTGACAGCTTGAAGCTGCTGTTTGAATTTTTGGAGATGACGGCGGTGGATTTTGGCCCGTGCACGGCGGGGTGCTGCAAGCACCTTGAGGGGTTCCGGCCCCCAGTGCCATTTCTTGTGCTGGACGATCTCCCGCTCTCGCACGTGAGTACGCGCTTGCGGTGGTCTGTGCGGCGACGGGTGACGACGTCGCGCTGGAGGCGAAAACTGCAGTAAGTTCAGCGTCGAAGAAGATGTAAAGAGGTGATGTTTCCAGAAAGATTTCCACGACCTGTGATTCGGCGGTGAAGCCGTGACGGTCTAAAGCGGCTGTCATCTCTCTTCACAATCGTTGAGGAACTTGAGGGATGCGCCCAGGTCCAACTACCACTACCTTCTGAGCCTATAACACATTTTATCTCACTACCAACGTTGCATACAAGCGGAAATGTCTCGCTCCACGGGAAGGACCCTAGAATCGCGCAAAGCCTACCGCATCTTCGGCGAGGACGAAGAAAGCAGTGGCGGCGACAGCGATCTCGACATCCTCAAGACGGAGCGCAAGAAGCTGGACCTCTCGCAATCTATTCAGCGTAAAGACCCCACGACGCTTAGAGTCTGCATAGAGAAAGAAAACTGACGGCTCCGTAGTCGTGACGTCCCAGCAAGCATCCCACACCAGCAACCCTTCCATCTCGCTACCCAACGACGACACCGACTCCGATCCCTCTCCCAGGCAAACCTCGTTCTCCAAGCCCAACTCACGAAAGCGCAAACCTCCTCCCGCCGACCCAGCAGACGATACCACGGCAAGCGCCAGCTCAGACAAGGAGACAGACTTCGAATGGCCCTCCGACGACCCCACTGTCGAGTACCTCGCCTTCAAAGCCCGGCGCACCCAGAGACGCAAGGCCGCCGCTGCGGAAACGAACCGGATCCGCAAGGCGAAGAAATCCCGTGTTGCTGCCTCGAGGGCTATCATCGGGAGGAAGAAGATCCCACCAGCCGCCCAGAAAGGATCAACGAGACGAGATATCACGGGATATAGTGCAGGTTCGGATGTCGAGAATGGGAATGCTGAGGGGGAGAGCAAAGAGGAGGTTACGTATTTGGATGAACCGACGCCGGAGTATATAGAAAAGAGACGGAAGGACTTGAAGAGATTGCATGATGCTGGGTTGAGGTATCCGCCCTATTACGATGACATAGAATTTTCTGACGATGAGGATGAGAATGAGGAGGAGAAGCCGGTCTTACATCCAGACATCAAGACACAGCGCCCAAAGAAAGATATTCTCCTCCGAGAGTCTCATGGTATTATACCCGCGCCGATTGCGCAGTGGTTGCGTGATTACCAGGTCGATGGCGTGGAGTGGCTTCATGAGAAGTGTGTGAATCAGCGCGGAGCGATACTAGGGGATGATATGGGATTGGGAAAGACGATCCAAGTGATCGCATTCCTGACGGCAGCCTTTGGCAAGTCGGCCACCAAAAGAGACGTGAAGCGTATGCGGAAGATTCGACGAGCGGGAGACGACCGGTGGTATCCCAGAGTGCTGATTGTGTGTCCCGGAACACTGATGCAGAATTGGGAAGACGAGCTGCAGAAATGGGGATGGTGGTATGCAGACAAGTTCCACGGTCATCCGAAGGATAAACAGGGTGTACTCAATGCCATTCGAGGCGGTCGATCCGAAATCATGATAACCACCTACTCCACCTACCGCAACTCGGAGAGCGAAATCAACACCATAGACTGGGACTGCGTCATTGCAGATGAATGCCACCAGATCAAATCGCGCAACGCCGAAATCACAAAAGCCATGAATAGAGTCAATGCCCTCTGCCGCATCGGCCTCACCGGCACAGCCATCCAAAACAAGTACGAGGAGCTCTGGACGCTCCTCAACTGGGCGCAACCGGGGCACTACGGGTCCGCGCAAGAATGGAAACAAACTATTAGTCTCCCTCTCAAGATCGGTCAGGCCCACGATGCCACGCACGCCCAGCTCGCCAACGCGCGCTCCAAAGCCAACGAGCTCGTCAAAGAGATCCTGCCGCCCGTCTTCCTCCGCAGAATGAAGACTCTCATCGCGCACCAACTGCCCAAGAAATCCGACCGCGTCGTCTTCTGCAAACTCACCCCGACACAGTCAAAAGCGTACAAGGCGTTCATCGACTCTCCCCGCTGCGAATACATCCGCCGCTCCAGGGAACCCTGTGACTGCGGCAGCGGCAAGGGGCGCGGATGGTGCCACTATCAAGAGCTCACCGCCGAAGATGGCGGCGGCAAATGGCTCATGTGGATGTTCCCTGCCATGGTCACTCTATCCAAGTTGGCGAACCACATCGCCCTCCTACTCCCACAGACGACCGACTCGCCCGAGAAACAAGCCAAAGACCTGGATAACCTGCAACTCGCCTGCCCCGACAAGTGGAAAGAGCTGTACCGCATGAAAGACAGCATCTTCAATCTCTCCCAGCGAGAGTACTGCGGCAAGTGGTCCGTCCTCAAACGCCTCCTCAACTTTTGGCACCAGAACGGCGACAAGGTGCTCGTCTTCTCCCACTCTGTGCGTCTGCTCCGCCTCCTCAAAGCCCTCTTCGACGTCGACGGAATGAAGTACAACTGGAGCTACCTGGACGGCAGCATGAGTCTCGAGGACCGAGCCAAGGCGGTCGCGGACTTCAACAGCGATGCAAACCAATTCGTCTTCCTGATTAGCACCAAAGCGGGAGGAGTGGGCCTGAACATCACATCCGCCAACAAAGTCGTCGTCATGGACCCCAACTGGAATCCGTCGTACGACCTCCAGGCGCAGGACCGCGCGTATCGAATCGGGCAGACGAGAGATGTCGAGGTCTTTCGGCTGGTGAGTTCCGGCACGATTGAGGAGATTGTGTATGCGAGGCAGATATATAAGCAGCAGCAGGCGAATATTGGGTATACGGCTAGCGATGAGAGACGCTATTTCAAGGGCGTGATGGATAGCAGTGAGAAGAAGGGCGAGCTGTTCGGCTTGGAGAACCTGTTCGATTACAAGGAGCAGGGTTACATGCTGAGAGAAATTGTGCGCAAGACGAACGTGGCCGAGACGAAGGCGGCGGGGGTGAGTGCCCTGGATTTCCAGCCCGACGAAGAGGACGAAGAGGACGAAGAGGCGGATTTGCTGTCGAATCAGAGTTTGGGCATCATTGATGAGGATGGGGGGAGTAGTGGTGGGGGCAGTAGGCAGTTGAGGAGGATTGCGGAGCGCATGGTGGGTGGCATGGACAAGGAGAAGCCGAAGCCAAATCCGATTAATGCGATTCTGGCCAAGGCGGGAGTGCAATATACGCATGAGAATTCAGAGGTCATTGGGCGCAGCAAGATGGAGGCGAAGCTCAGCAGGATGGCGCTCGAGGTGCAGAATGATCTGGAGCTGGGGCCGAGACGCGTCTTCCAGATGTCTCAGAGTCAAAGCCAGAGCCAAGGGCTGGAATTGGAGTATAGTGAGGATGAGAGAGATGCAAGGGACGATGTTCGCCTCGTAGGAGAGGGGAGACCAGGGGAAGAGTTCAAAATCAACTACAAGTACCGACCGAATGAAGGGATTCGGAGCAGACAGTTCTGCTCCATGGCGAAGATGATGGGGTACGAGGATCCGGTTGAGTTTGCGCTTGTCGTCGAGGATATGACGCAAGAGGAGCGGATATCGACTCTCGAGAAATTCTATCGGATGAGGCGGAGAGAGATTGCGGAGGAGTTCAAAGGATCGTAGAGTGTGTAGCCTTTTCGGTGCCATATAGATACCCCCTGCGGCAGCTTTCATGAACTCAGACCTTGTCATTGGCATCATCAAGCTCGGAGCTATACACTCTGTCAGTATGCATATAGATAGCACAGCATCGCCGTCCTCATAAGTCCCAAGACATTGAACGACCAGTCAAATTTCTGTCTAGAGGGACGCGGACCATCAATCCGAGAGCCGTCCCAAAGAACACTCTCCACCATCTCCTTCGATATGACCACCAGGAATGCATGCACTATCATCCAGAGAAGTTCCATAACGCCATAGTGATTTTCCCGGATGCCATTATGCGCGAATGCCGCCCTTTCCCATGTTTCCGTGCTGTTGGCTTCCAGCTGCTGCTCCAGGTATCGTGTCGTAACATCCAGTTAAACGGTTGGGTGGCTCGCGTTTCGCATTAGAAGAGGTGTGGGTCGCTCATCGGTGCTGGGGTTGTGTTAGTTCTTTTACTCTCGTCCCAAGCCCTGGCATCCCTCTTCGGGTGTGCATTGTGAGAAAGCGGCGATCAACGCACCTTGACGAAACCGATATCCGCAGCCTTCTCGCGGAAGCACTGACGGCAGATGTTGAGGCCGTACTTGCGGATGAGACCAGCAGTGTGGGTGCAGACACGGCTAGACTCAGTCAGTCAGATTCCTCAATTTTTTCAATCCATATCCCCAATCCGGTGCCTCCTTTCAAACAACACTTCCCCAAATTCCATCTTCCGGGATCTTTTTCCGCTGCGCGACAAGAAGTTCGACACTACGTACCACGAACGGCTTCCCTTGCCGTAGGTGCGGGGACGCGAGTACCAGACGGATTCGTGAGACATATTGGCGAGTTAGGAAGTTGTCGTCGACGGCGGGAGTCTTTGACGGTGTTCGTGCTGGTCGTGAGCGTGTCCGGTAGATCGATGGTTGAGGATCGAATTCGTGGTGTTCCGCGGAATTCGAGGGGTGCGAATTTCGGGCCTTGGCGTGCGACTGCGAGGGAGGAGCTAAGCGAAGGTTTGGTCACGTGAGTTCATTATTCCAAGGATCAACTTAACGATATATTCAGCAGTTGTCCTGATATGCGTTGTATTTTGAATTCCGCAATTCAGGTTTTCTAGATGAGGTTTTAATGGAACTCATTCATATGCTAAGTTTTCCGCCTCTGATGCAGATATGATCACCTGCCCCATGCATGTGTACCCTTATGATATTTCGTACCAACATCAGTCCTTTTCTACAATGTGTCCCTATTTTTGATTCCGTAGCATGCTTGAGTATTGTGATTCCTTCGTTTCCGTGGGCCCCTATTTCACCCTCAAAACAACCACACTATTCACTACTTTCGTCCAGGGGTGCACGGCCCCCAGAACCTCGTAGCCAGCATCCAACAAATCATTTGATAGCTCGAGCACCTACATCATGTCAGTCTTCCCTTCTCCAAGCTCATTGCGCCATTCGGAACACCTCATGTGGAAGAAAGTACGTACCGGATACAAAACCCCCCTAACCCCCCACGCACTCCTCGCCACAACCAACGTGCCCCTTTCCAACTTCCTCGCCAAAGAAGCCAACATCTGTATTTTCGACGAAGAATTCATGCCCACCAGCGCCGCAAGGAAGACAACGTCGAATGACCGCCAATTGCTCATGTGTGAGACACAAAATTCTTCACTGTCCCTGGCAGATGGGCTGCGAGATTCATCGATACCGCCGACTTCCTCGCACGAGAACGTCATTCGTGCTGCATACCCACATCGTTGTGCCAGTGCAGCGGAGATCTTCAGGGCGCAGACGTCGCGGTCGATGTTGTGGATGTAGGCGCTCCGGTAGCGGTCTGCCATGCAGAAGGATGTCAGAGGAAGAGGGCCGGAGCCTATGAATGCTATATTGAGGGGTTGCGAATTGGTGCCAGATGAAGGGAGGAAGGACTCTATCATGCTGCATTCGAGTCGCGAGAGCTCGAGGTAGTTGGTGTAGTAAGGGAAGGCGGTTAGCAGGGATTGGGTGCTGGAAGCTGTTGGTGGGGAGAGATCTGTCTGGTGTGTTAGGGGTCTTGCAGTCCATCTGTCTGGTGAGACGGGAGAAGGGATGAGTGACCTGATGAAGAGGAAGAAGAGCCCAATATCCTTTCCGCCCAGTAGCGCTCCAGTTCTCCTTCTGCGGCGCCGCAGAGCGGTCGGAGAGACTCACAGAGCGAAGATGCACCCTGAAGTGAGAAAAAGTATTTTGAAAACGCCTCGCCGTAAGGTTGTATGCAGAGGTCAACCAAGCGTGTGAGCAGCGCGTTAATCTCGGGGCCTGGTGCCAGACTGGGCAAGTGAGTGAGTGCAGCGTATACGTCCCGAATGTCCTCGAAGAGCTGGTACGCTGTTGAGGCGAGAGCGGTCGGGGTGCTTGGTGGGGTCACGATGGTGTTGTGGTTGCATTGTGGATGGGGCTTCGATACTGCTGGTTCGAGAGCAGAGCTAGGCTTCTCGAGTTTATCCATTGTTCGGGCGTTCTTGGAGGTCATTTGAATGGGGCAAGGAGCAGTTGGAAGTCTCTCCAAATGTGGGAGAGCGTCCATTTTCAAAGAAAAGTCTTCGTGAAAAGCAAAGAGGGAACGCGGGGAGGTGCCGAAAATCACTAAGAATACAAACCGAAAACCCACAACCATAAGCCCCAGAACATGCCTGCACCCCACAGAGCAAGACTGGCCGTGTGGACAAAGGGTAATAGCTAGGTTGTGGTTGGCCGTGCGCCAGTGAGCACCTTGATGGCGTGGGGGATGTCGACATGTCACTGAGAGCTTGTAGGGTTCGGAGTTACTGAATTAAGCCTTTTGCTCTGAGGCTTTTCTAAGTACATATTGACATGGTGGAAGTGCACACAGGGGGGGGCATGTGTACGCTTTACCTCTTGCAAAGTAGAACGTGGGTGGCGTGCAACTGAGCCCGTGGGACTGCAATCTGAACACATGTCGAGCGGCGTCTGGACAGACAGGGAGTCCCACATCTTCAAAAGCTGTCAGTCATCTCGCTGGAGCCGTGCCCATAGCCTTCTCCATGAGGACCGCTTTCATAAGCACTGTCATGGGCCCACCCGCAGCATGGGGGTCGTCCTTGGGAGTTTCAGCCCTCCATCCACGGAAGTGGTTCGGCGCCGGGTCTCCTGTAAACGCGCTTGCCACCGACCCACGTCTCTCTGACCGTAGCTTTGCGTAGGGCTTCCGGATCGAGAGAATCAAGAGGCTCGTCCAACACCACCCAGTCCGCGTATGCGCCTGGGGCGACGACACCTGCCTTGCCTTCGAGGAAAGCAGCATAGGCAGGGTTCACAGTGAAGCCGTGTAAAGCATCCTCGAGAGTAAGGGTCTCTTCCGGGTACCAGCCCTCTTGGGCCCCTGAAATGTCTAGGCCCGTTTTCGGACTGCGGCGGGTGGTGGCGGCATACAGGCCTTCGAAGACGTTGGCAGGCTCCACAGGAAAGTCGCTGCCCAATACTGGCTTCAACAGGAGGAGGCTGCGCATCCGATAGGCTTCTGTCTCTGTCCGAACCTTTCCTAACCGGGCTTCCACGTAGTGCGCGTCCGAAGTCGCGTGAGTGGGCTGTATTGAGGGAAGGATGGCCATTTCGAACATCCTCTTCTGGTCATATGGATGGATGATTTGGGCATGTTCAATGCGGAACCGATGCTTTGCCTGGCATACACGGGCTGTCTGGCCGGGGCAGAGCTCCTCGAACGCGGAAGCAAAGGAATCAATGGCAAGGCGGTTGGCTAAGTCTCCGATGGCATGTATGTTGACCTGGAAACCTGCCGCAGACCACTCCCTAGTGAGCTTTGCCAGGGTGCTGGCGTTGACGAGAAGTGATCCTGAAGACTCTGGCTTATCTGCATACGGCTCAATCATCGCACTGCCCCAGCTTCCGAGAGCACCATCTGATACGAGTGAGCAGGAATCATACACACAACTCTCAAGCTCACGTACCCCCAAATAGCTTAACGCTGTGTACGTGAAGCCTGCCATTGGGACTTGATATCTTCCTGGCACTCTCAGGGCAGAAGGTGTTCCTGGTATCACACTCGATCATCGCGTTTACGCGGACAGTCCAGTCATCATCTTCATGGAGCTCCTCATACAGGTCAATTTCCTTGGGAAACACACCAGCATCATGCATGCCGACAATGCCGAGCTTATTGAGCTCGAACATGGCATCCTTGAGCCACATGGTCTTCCGCTCCCTGCTCGGCCGGGGATAATGTTCCAGCACGAGGTCCATGGCATTGTCACAGAAGACTCCCTTCGCTGGGGTCTCACCGCCAGGGATGTGCGGCAGAGGCGAAGGGAGAAGGGACAAAACTTTCTCCGATACCCAGATGCAGTGCACGTCTATACGGTCAAGCATCACATACTGATCTTTGAAGGTCTCGTCGATTTCCAGGTCTGACTTTCCAACTGTAAGCATCACACATGCCTGGCAGACACGCAGGGCAGCAAGAAAAGCAAACAAACTCACAGCGACAGGCCACCTCCCAAACTCATCCTGATCCCACCCCACGCCCCTTAACCAAAACTCCCGAGTGCCCGCCTCGGGCTTCCCCTCCTTGTACCCCTTGAGCCTCCTCTTCACTTCCTCCAAGCCCCTTGCTCCAAACAAATCCACTGAATGCAACAATTCCCCAAACTGACTCAAATGACCATGCCCATCCCACAACCCCGGAATCACATGACCCTTACGTTGCTCCTTGGTAACCTCGAACGACGTCTCATCGAGGAAGACGCGGGTGAATATTCCGTCGGCTGAGACGCTAAAGCATTCGGCGAGAGGGATGGTAGGGGAAAGGGTTTTCACGGACGCGTAGCAATGAGTGGTGGAGGTTGTGAAGATGTTGCGGAGGATTTTGAAGACGAGGAGGTCTGGAAGCAGGGATGTGAGGGTCGTCGTGGGGGGAATGCCGAGTTGATAGAGTACGGCTGCGAGGAGGATGGGCACCGAAACCCAGAATAGGGAGGTGAGAGAGGGCATGGCCTCTGGAAATGAATGTGTGTTTGCGGAGAGCAATTGGACCTGCGAAGGACGAGATGTTGTTGTACTGTTGGCCATGGATATAGGAGCGTCGGAACTTTCTTATCGATAAGATATCGGGTCGGAGGTTGGCCGAATTGGGAAGGTGGGCGCGGATACATAACGTGACTCACCACCGAGCGCACGTCCCCACCGAGCGCACGAAAATTGCAGGATAACACCAACAAACTTGAGGCTATTGAGCCACGTACGATTGCTATTATTACGGGATTCTTTGGTGTTGCAATTATACTGCGCCTAGCAGTAGATTAGGAATTTTGTATTATGTAAGAAGCTTCTTAGGTGGCTTAATTGTTCGCCCACGACGAGAGATTGGATAAGCGGTTCCTCTACCTCAGCGGGATCCTCGTTAACAACAACAATTGTAGTAGCTTTAGAAGGCTTGAGACTTTGCCTCTTGCCTTTTTTAGCAATCTTGATATCGTTTTGGAGTTGTTTTTCAAGCTCCCGGGCAAGCTTTCTCTCCTCACGGGCAGCTACCTTGGCAGCAGCATCAGCAAGGCGCTTCTCCCTTGCTGCAACTGCCTTAAGATGATGCTCCTCAAGGAGCTGAGTCTTATCAAGCTTTTGTTGCTCGCGGAGCTTGATTGCCTCGTTCTTTTGATGTTGCAACTCTAATTCTTCAAGGTCCTTTTGCTCCTGCTTCTGATGAGCCTGCGCTACCTTGTTAGGTGACCAGAAGACTGCTCCTCCATTGTAGTCAGCTGGCGGTTCCAGCAACAAAGGTTTGCTATGCTGTCTGCGTTTCTTCTCATTGGCTAGAGCCTCACGGAGGTTGTTGTTTTCATGTTATAGCAAGGCATTTTTGGTTGAAATTGTATGGATTGTCTGGCTAAGCCTCTTTGAGGTTTCATTGTAAATATCATCCACAGCCTGCCGGAGCAATCGCTCAATCTTTCGCCAGTCGTTTGCGCTTAGTACTGAGGTTGAGGAGCCACTTGAAGTTGGTCTTGAGGTGACCACAGGTGCAGCTGTGAACCTTGAGATAATAATGTGAGGGTTAAATGGTGCAATCCCTGTAGCCTCAAAGGCCTTGCAAATAAGTGTTGCATTGAAGGTAGAGGTCCATGCAGTATTAAAGAGCTTATAGAAATCTCTCTTAGTAATACTACTAAGTCCTTGAGTGCCTTCAAGGAAAGCAGTGAGCTCAGCTTTGTATGAGGCTGCTAGTGGAGCAAACATGATGACATCAAGTGGTTGTAGCATGTGAGTACTATGAGATGGATAGACCATAAGCAGGATCCTGTTGGCATCGTAGTATTTGATAAAATCCATTGTAATATGAGATCCATGGCCATCAAGGATAAGCAACCAGTAGGATGAGCGCGCCTTTGCCTTTGTCTCACGATCGAAGACTTGCTTAAGCCAAGCAAGGCCTATATCATGGCTAGTCCATCCAGAAGGTGAGCTAGTAAAAAAAGCATGGTGTCGTTCGGCCTCGAAATCCTGCAACCAGGTGTCCTGTATAGCTCCAGATTGTGCCTGGTAGATGAGCACAGGCATGAGTGCAGTGCCATCTACGCAGATGCAAGCTATAGTGGTAATCTTCTCACGATTGCCATCCTGAACAATGTGCCTGAGCTTTCCCTGCTCAAAGGCACTCTTGGAGAAGACAAACTTCATCTTTGACAGCACTCCAATCAAGAAGCCCTTCTCATCCATATTGTATATATGCCGGCTATCTATATCATATTGCTCGATTTTGCACTTAAGAAGCTCAAAGTAGAGGCTATACTTGAAGGCAGAATCAGCCTTGAAGCGGTTACGATCAAGGCCAGTTGCCCAATGTGAGATAAGCTCAATGTGGTGTCGTTCAACAAAGCGATCAGCCCAGTTTTTGCCTACGTCTTTTTGGGATATTTGACTCGCAAAATTTCGTATCATAGCCCGAGAGGGAGGTAGTCCATGTGCGACGAGATCGTGTATATACTGTACAAGCTGCTGTTCTTGCGTGGTGTTGAGCAATCGTCCATTTGCAAGTTTGGTTGCACGCGCTTCCTGGATCCCCCGGTAGCGTTTCGACAATGTAGAATGAGAACAGTTGTATTTATGGGCATAATCTGCATAGGAGAAAGAATCTCCTAGCTGAAGGGACTCCAACGCTGCAAGCACAGCCTCGATACCTGTCATGGTGGTGGAGATATGGTTGCTTGAAGTTCTGCATGATTTTCGTGATTCGTGCGCTCGGTGGGGACGTGCGCTCGGTGGTGAGTCACGTTATCGGTATTGGAGACCTCGGGATGAGATTTGGCCGCCAAACTTGAGGACAATTTTGAACCAACAAACCCTCTCAAACCTATAGAGGATAATGTTCCAACTGCTCTTATACAAGTATAACTAGAAAGACCTCGGGAGCTGCTTTCGAGCCAACATGAATCACCTACATGGGGTCAAGTTCTCCACGTGATAGCGCGTGTGCCAAGACGCGGGCGAGGGTTTGACGCGTGGGGACGCAATCCTGCAACGCAAGCTGCACACAGCAACACCAGCAATGCCTCCGGTATGACGACACGCCCTGTGCGTATTGCGCAAACGACTACCGAAGCCAAGAAGGAGTATAAAAAGAGTGGCCTAAAGCTCTCCGATGCCCAGCTTCGCCAGCTACACCGAGAGCACGAGCTCGACCAACGCGCCGCCCGCATTCGGGAACAGGAGGAACGGAAACGCGCCGCGAAAAGGAAACGAGAAGAGAATGAGCGGAAACAGCGCGAGGCCAGACGACAGCTGGGAATAGGACTGGCCACCCAGATGATTGGATACAGTCGGACACAGGCCCAGATGAAGAACGGCATGGAAGCCTTTGTTGGACTGAAGAAACACAAGCCGGAGCAGGATGCCCGACAGCTGGAGGTCAACAAGAAGCTCGAAGCAATCGCAGTGACAGTGGAGAAAGAGCCTTGGGACGATGATGCTTTCGAAGCATTCGATACAGAAGATATTGCTGTGGAAGATATACCAGGCCTCGTCGGGATTGACGTGGATTCATTCATCGATGACGACCTCGACGATGAGACACTGCTCGAAGTACACGATCTGATTGTACCAGACATCTGCCCACCTCGTCCGCAATCATCTTGCAATCCCCATTCGAATTCGGAAACAGGACGGAACCAAGCCGCTAGCCCTGAGTTCGAAAGACCTACTACACCAGCCGCGTGCAAGAGTAGCATCCCACAGCTCAACACCACCTTCAAGGTCGGAACTCCGAAACTTCCTGCTTCTAAGGTTGTCCAACCCCCGGTGCGAAGTTGTTCGCCGGTACCAATCGTCATTGACAACTGGGAAGATTTCCTTGACAGCTCCACGCAGATTGCTCGCGAGTTGTCGTCAGAATCACAAGATCAATCAAGGCTGGAGTGCCGCCATACCACTATGCCGAGACCTAAAAGCACGGCCAAGCCAGAATTGCCCTCATCTCCCCAGAGGAATCCGGACAGGACGCCTCTACACAATTCGGCGACTTCAACGAACAACTGTGTTCCGATTACAAAAGCAACTCCACCGACGGACGCGGCTGGACCCGTCACAAAATCAACCAACATTAGCACTGAGCTTGGAATGTCGTCACAAGAACTAGTACGCTTTCTGGACGACGAAGAATTCTGATGGGCTACATTTGCCTGTGAGCCGAATTGCTCGCCTCTTGCTGTATGCTTTTGTAGGCCAAAGCTTGCAGAATGGGTGCCTAGTACTCCAACATTGCTTCCTCAAATGGATTGGGTATCGAACTCCGCTTCTAAATGCCTTAATGACTAAATGACCATTTGCTCTCCTTCATCTGCTTCTCCTTCCGCGTGTTCTTGGTCTTCCTCCTCGTCAAGATCCTCCAAAGGAAAGGTCAATATTGCAGCCACGTTCCCCAGCCCTTCGAGCCTCTTGCCGCTCTCATGCAGACTACTCAACACCCTAACTTCACCACCTTCAACGTCCCTGACTCGGTCGACAAGCCGAACCCAGCGTTTCCGCTCTGCCACGTCTTGAGCTCTGAATAGTGCGTTTGAGAGCAACAGCACGCCTCCCCCGCGTCCCACTGCCCCCTTTTCTACGGCACGCTCAACTTCCCGAGGACCATACCATGCTCTGCCATCGTCTGCGCGCAGAAGGCTCGTCAACTGATCCATCAGCGCCGTTTCCCGTGCGAACTTGGTATCCGACAGCTTCGACTGGATTGCGGGTGACGACAATACCTCCTTCAGCGCGTGTACATGGTGCGATGAGGCGTGTGCAATCAGTATGGAAGGTATCAGGGCCAGCAGAGCCTTATTCATTGTCCTCGAAGCCTCAGTCTTAATGTATTGCAAGAAGGCTTGTGCCACGAAACCCGGACTCGCAAGCAGCAACGGCACCGTTTTTCCCGGATCGGTCGAGCTGGTCCGCGCGCTCTCTATGTGTCTCCACAGCGTCGACAATGTCGTCGAAAAGAACTTCTCCATTCCCTTGTCATGGCCATCGATCCCACCTCTTCGTTTCCTCGGCACCGCAACTTCGACTCTCTGCCGTAATATCGTCTGATGCTCCGTTATGAGGCAGATGTTGGCGACACCCTCACCCATGACCACGGCCCAGATCTCCGCCTTCCGCTCCGTATCGCATGCCTCCCTCAACATCTCCAAAGCCACACTATCCCAGACGCCGCCCTTGGGATCTTCCCCCTTGGTTAAGGTAAACTTGCGATTGAGCTCCAAATCCAGGGTGTGATGGGACCCCTTCTTCACATGGTCGTTTTCCACGGCCACACGCCCCGCAACATGTAGCTGCCCGCAGCTTATGTCGAAGTCGGTCGAGACGACGCTGATGGTGAGATCCATGACGACTTGCTTGGTTGTGCGGGCTCCGGTCACGATTTCCTGTTTCAGGTTGCGGACGGCGCGGCCGCGGAGGAGGTCGTGGGTTTGGATGAGGTTGTAGGCGTGCCACATGTCTTCGGGTTCTTCGGGGATGAGGGTGGCGCTGCCGGTCCCGTGTTTACGGTCGATGGCGGAGTGTTGGAGACGCATTTTGGGGGTTTCTGCAGAGGCGTGACGTTATGGGGTGGAGGTTCGGGTGTGGCTCTTTGGCTTGGAAACGTGCGCATACAGAGTAGAGTATATATGGCGTATTGGCCAAAAGCGCTGCAAAGTGCTTCTGACGGTTTGGAGTTCAGATGTTACAGTGGATTGAATTGAGCGGCCCTGGAATCGAGTGTGGGCCGGCGGGCCCACGATGATGTACATGGTGGGGTTCATTTATTTCTGCCGAGACTCCATAGCTCCGCCTTATCGATAGCGAGCAGAGAAGCGTTAAAGGCCTATGGCCGACGGTGAAACGTTGTCGCGGTCCCGACTTCAACCCATCATCTCTCACCTGCTTCAATGTTGTGTGGTGAGTGTGGGTGGGTGTGTGTGTGTGTGGAGGGTCTGTGTAGGGTTCTCCCCCCAGGGCTCCCTTTCCATGACCCTTTCAACCTGCCTGATGTTTCCCTTGATCAGAAACCCGGGTCCCGATATGCTTGTGCTCCACATATATACATCATGTATCCGATTCCAGGCAGAGGGCTGCGTGGAGGGAGTTCGAATAATACGGCAATGAGTGCTTGGCTTGTGACGACGACGCCGACAAGCAAGGTTTCGAGCTCCTGGCCTCTCGCAGTAGGATGATGCTGGAACTCCGCCCGTTCTCCGAGGCAGCATGGTGGAGCTCAGACGGAGTGATAGATGGTTCTTGGTCGCCTTTCTGCTCTGCTTCCCTTTTTGCTCCACGTCTCTCGGGCATACAGACGTTCTGACCCTTGTGGACATCCTCACGAGCGTCATTTCAAGCATCCGTTTGTCTCTCACTCACACATCATACAGGCTCAGCATGTGGGGAGCGGGCGAGGCTGGCTTGATTCGTTACATCTGGCCATCATGTGCCTCTGGATCGATCAATCAATCAATCAATCATCCTCAACTCGTCCCGGTCCTTCATGCTCTACGTATACGCTTCCGTCAGTGTACGGTTTCGAGAAGCCTGCAACTTCCTCACGGTGGCCTCGACTCTTCCCTCCTCTGTTCACCGAAGTCCAAGCCCGACCGCACCACGGGGTCCCTCTTGCTGCCATGAGGACTCGTTGCGGCTTCCCAAGGGCCCTTGATGCTTTCCGGCCTGGGACATGGAGCGTCCGCGCCTGACGCTCCTGCTCGGGCGATGGAGCTGCTCCTTACCTCCCCGTGCTGCTCAGTAGCGCTCTTACCCTCCCCCCGTCGTCCGGAGCAACACAACGAGGTATTTAATCTCCCCTCTCCCCCCTCTTCCTCCATCCTTCTTCCATCATCAGCATCCGCCTCTTCATCCACACTCGGGTGAGTCGACCTGATCCTTGGGATGCTCCAATGCTAACCTGTCCCCAAGGCATCGATACCGGTTGCAGAGACTACACTCCAACATCCTCACTTCGATCAGCTTCGTCCCGTCGTTTTGTTATCCTTCAGTCCCTACACCCTTTGCTTCCATCCTATCCAACAATGTACAACACTTCGTGTAACCTCGTGTCGCCCGCCTTCCCTTCCGACTTCGTCGGTGGCTTCAACCCCCGGTTCGTCTTCGCACAAGGTCATGGTCCGTCATTCGGCCTCCCGGCAGTGCACTTCTTGGACCCTGTCAGCCATGCCAACTGCTCATACGGGCCCAATGACTTCGTCCCTGTCATCCATCAAGCATCCCCGACCTCGACGGACGTCACTTGCGCCTTTTCGATTAAGCCCACCGGGACCGACCTGGTCTGCCCGACTATTACCGCCCTACCTGTGGGTCAGCATACCATCACCTACATTGAGGTTGCATCTACGGTCGTTGCTCCGGCGCCCTTCTCTTTCGAAGTCGCTGATGTCACGAAATCTTCCGTCGCCCAGGAGTGGAAGTCCCTCACGGCTGCGGTAAGCACCTTTCGCCTTGCTCGTCTTCTGGATCGAGTTTTACTGACGCACTGCAGCCCTTGCATCCCAGAGTTCGCGGCAAAGGGCAGGTTACCATTGTGACTACCCCTCCAATCACCATCATTATCACTCCCGCTTCGATTACGACGACGTCCACTACCACGTCTACTTCTGTCTCCACGAACACGACAAGTACCACCGCGACCACTACCATTCCCGTCTTCAGCTCAACGACCACTACTACGACGAGTACGACAAGCACCGTGCTCTCGTCCGCAACGACTACGACGAAGAAGATTATCAAGGTACTGCCGACCAAGCCCGTTGAGAAGCCCCTTGAGAAGCTCGTTGAGAAGCCCGCGTCTTACTTCGACAAGCAACTTCACAATCATTTCGTAAGTGAATATGGGAACTTGCTTAGAAAGGAAGCCAGCTGACAGGTGCGACCCAGGGCGGCGGACTTCGCGGAAAGTTCCACCCAGTCGGACACGAGAAGAGGCAAGCGTTTGGGCATGGAAAGTGTACACGATCCACGGCCACCGGCACTGGAAAGAAGACACAATCCACGACCAAGTCTACCTCCCCGACCAAGTCTACCTCCACGACCAAGTCTACCTCCACGACCAAGTCTACCTCCACGACCAAGTCCACCTCCACGACCAAGTCCACGTCCACGTCCAAGTTCGGATTCCACTCGGCAGCGATTGAGGAGAGGGAGGCCACTGGGACTGGAAAGAGTACGCAATCCACGAGCAAGTCCACGTCCACGAGCAAGTCCACGTCCACGAGCAAGTCCACGCCCACGAGCAAGTCCACGACCAAGTCCACGTCCACGAGCAAGTCCACGACCAAGTCCACGTCCACGACCAAGTCCACGACCAAGCCTGTTGAGACCGTCACTCAGGTCGAAACGGTCTATGGCACGGCGACGGCTCTGCCAAAGTTCGGATTCCACCCCGCCGCCCTTGGAAAGGGGGAAGCCACTGAGGATGGGAAGAGTACGCAGTCAACGACCAAGCTGGTTGAGACCGTCACTGAAGTCGAAACAGCCTATGCCAAGATGACGGCTCCGCACAAGTTCGGATTCCACCCGGCCGCGATGGAGAAGAGGGGAGCCACTGAGACTGGAAAGAACACACAGTCACCTGCCAGCAGCCACAGTGAAACGGTCACAGAGGTTGAAACGACCTATGCCACGGCCACGGCTCCGCACGAGTTCGGATTCCACCCCGACGCGCTCGAGAAAGGGGAAGTCACTGGGATTGGAAAGTCCGGAATATACCCTGGCTCAACCACCATCACGCAGACTGAAGCGGTCCCAACCACCATCAAGCAGACTGAATCGGTCCCAACCACCATCAAGCAGACTAAAGCTGTCTCCATCACCATCAAGCAGACTGAAACAGTCACTCAACTCGAAATGGCCCATTCTACGGCGACAGCTCTGCAGAAGTTCCCCCCGAAGTTCCACACGACCGCGCCGAAGCCTCAGAAGAGGGGAGCCACTGGGACTGGAAAGAGTGCGCAACCAAGTCACGGAGCTTCGTCTGTCACAACCACCAAGTTCGCTGAAACGGTCACTCAAGTCGAAACTATATATGCCACGGCGAAGCCTCTGCGGAAGTTCAGGTTCCACAGGAAGAGGGTCCTTCGCCCAGAGTTGCCACGCGATTTGAGTTAGGGAAACAACGCTGGCAACTGGGGACCCGGTCAACTTGGACATGGCTTGCACAAGACGCTGGATGGTTTGAAGAAGAAGATTACGACGCAAACCAAGGCGAGAAAAACAACCGTGACTACAACAGAAACGACGGCGACTCCCTCTCCAACCACTGAGACCACGACTACAACGACCACCTCGCCTACGGGGACTACAACGGTATCGACGACGTCTACAACCACCGAGACAACCACCACTACAACGCCGGGTACCACAACAACGACCACTACTAGACCAACGAGCACAACGACGACGACTACTACGGTGAGTACGCCGACGACGACAACTGAGTCGACCACGACCACGACGACTTCGACGACAACGTCAAGGACTACTTCTACGACGACTTCGCCGACAACCACAACGACCACAACTTCTACGCCGACAACGACGACTACTACCAGTACAACAACGACGACGACGACCACGACGACAAGACCAGGGGGTGGTCCGCCTCTTGCTGGTCCTGCTACGGTCACCGCTATCTAAGTCGCTGGACGCCAGACGGGCATGGTACACGGGTTCATGCATCTGTTCACCTACTCCTATGCATCATATTGCTTTTCCCTTTCCGGGGCGGATTGCTGGGGATAAGGAATCGTGCACCTCTTCGACTTGTCTCTTTCTCGTTTGTGTATGATTAGCGTCCGCGAAATTCATTCTTCGTTCCATTTCACATGAGTGTGTCTGCTGGTGACTGTGCTTCGTGACGAGGCGACATCATTCGAGACGAGTGGGGACAGCAATAAGTTGGTTCACCCAGAGAAAGGTACCAGATCTCTTGTTCGTCAACTGCATTGGGGTACTAGCATGGCCCATGAACATCGTGTGCTGTTAGGTATACAGTCGTCCACACGTCCAGACATCAATTCCCCTTGTTCGTTTGAAAGTCAAAGAACCTTGATGAGAAGATTGAACTTTCTTGTGCAACAACTGGCCAGTGATGAGACTAGAAAAACCCAGTCACCCGGCCCTTCTGGAACGCTCAGTGCGGTTGGGGCGGGGAGGGAACGGGGTGGCTGGAATTATCACTATGGCAGAGCATCGTGTTGGGTTTGAGATCAATGAGGGAGAGGAGGTTGACGGCTTCATGGGAGTCACCCAAGAAGGCTGGGAAAAGAGAGGACAGGCAGGGCATCGTGGATGAGGACGAAGAGGATGGTGTTGGAGGGAAGAGAGGAGCATTGAAGTGTTGTGGGTTTGACATGCAGCCTTTGAGATGCACGGCGAAGAGTTGGACATGCGCGGATGGAAAACCTTCGAGGAATAGCATCTATGTAGACTCAAACCCAGACACACGCTAAAGTATATCAGTCTCACGCAAGAATCAAGTTGCTATACAGATTAATCACTCAGTTCTCGGCTTGGGGCCCACCCGCAGTTAAGTCTACCGGAAGTCACGTGACTATCTTCTTGAGCTTGATCGGACACTGGAATTATGGAATCTGAAGGTGCTGACGAGGTAGTTGCAATTGGTACGGCTTTGAATTTACTTGTTGGAACATATCTATGGTTCATTCGCGTCGACCTGCCATCCCATGACCAGTTGACCCCAAAGTATGCTTGGCCTTACAAGGTTGTTTTAGGTGGAATCCAATGCAGCCGCACCATCTCAAGCTCTTTGTCCACAATCGCGTCTTCACCGGTCCCAAGCTCCGTTCCGCATTGGCGCGAGGCGCTGATTCGGAGATTGCCAGACAAGCTTCAAGATGACAAGTACACACGGCTTCGTTCGGTTAGCGTGCGGATCACACAGATCATGGAGCCGAATAGATACCCAGGTAGATCTTGAAAATCGCAGTCAGCAACGTGCTGGGCAATTATCTCTCCCCGCCCCCCTCTCCCCAATGCCAGGGTACCTATTTACTCAATGAGCGTTGAAGAGCTGAGGCAGCAGTTGGAGGCCCTTCAGCGGTCACACGAAGCCCTGTTGAGGAGCATCACACGAGCGAACGGTTCCTTTGATCAAGCGCAGCTTCGGCGATCATTGACCCGCGAGGAGCGCCATGGCACACATGCGACCTTTGTGGATTCTTCCAATTTTTCCGACGACAGCGACGACGAGGACGATTCATACTTTGTCCAGGGGGAGCTGCCATCCCAATCCTTTGACCACGAGCACCTGCGAGAGCATCTGAAGAAGCATGACTGGAAAGAGCATGGAAGGGAGATCCTCTCCAGCCTTTTCAAGGAACGAGGCAGGCTGAAGGAGCCGAATCTGTTCCCCACGCAACCGGGTCCCGCCGAGGACAGGAGTCATTATTCTCACTTTCAAGTCTACGATGTTGGGCCCCGCGGAAACGTGGAGCTCATCGAATCCGGTGGGAAGGAGAAGTGCATGTCGCGTGCTCACCAGATTTGGCATTCCCTCAAAGACATTGGCGTGGGCAGTTCCAAGATCGAGAAGCCGGTAGGGCGAATCACGATAGCACGGGAGCCTTCGCCCATCTTGTTCGGAGCCTTGCATCTTACCATGAACAACACATTCGACATGGACGAGTTGTTTAAGCACCTGGTTAACACTGACGCGTCGTCAGCACACATGCATAGAGCATTCGACCCGGAGCGCAGACGCCAGAGGACCTTCTTCTTCAATTTCGAATATTATACCATCATGGGTGAGGACTGTGAGCCAATGCAGTGGCAATACGCGAACCGAGAGAAGTCTCTGAAACCTGGCCATATCCCATTCACCAGATGCAGCTCCGTGGTGGCATTGGCCCTCTATGACAACAAACCAAGGCGCATCGTAACCAGGGGATCGCGCGGCCAGAAGAGGGAGGGGTTTGTCTCTGATATCTGGACCCCATGGCAGGTGCTCGTGATTGAGTGCTTTCCAGACTGGAGAGCGACGGCCGATACCTTTGAAACCGGACATCGTTTCCTTAACGGCCCGGAAGCCTTCTTGCATGCATTATTGGCACAGTATAGAGATGCCAGAAAGAGATATGACGAGATTTATAGGAGGGTGGCTAGGCTGGTCACGCCTCCGCTCAACTTTCTTTTCGACGGCTCCTTGCGGGATCAGCGACTCTTTGAAGACCGAGACTTCACGTGGACTCGTCGCTATTTCTGGGCTCATCAGACGCTCGGAAATGTCAATGACAGCATCAAGAGCATGGTTGATGCCTTCGAAGACACCTTCACCGATGACGTCTGGGAGGGGAAAAGCCGTCTTCTGTGGCCTTTGTTCGAAGAATCGCCTCGGAACGACTACTGGAAGCACCGCCTTAGGATGTTGCGGACCCGGTTCGAAAGGGAGATGAAGGAACTTCGCATCCTCATTCGTGAGAACAACGAACGGAGAGCGGAGATCCGGACTCTGCAAGACCATCTGTTCAGTGGGACATCGATTCAGGAGTCGAGAAAATCCGTGGAGCTGACCGATATAACCGTCCAACAAGGCCGAAACATTGTAAGCACGGGCTCCAACCCCAGCATCCGCCTCCGTATATACAAAATCAGATTCCCTGACCTCGACCACAGAAACTCCTCACCCTCGTCAACATGATCTTCGTACCCCTCACCTTCGTCACGTCCGTCTTCGGCATGACAAACATGGACACGACCCCTTCCTTCTGGCAGTTCGGCGTCACCCTCGTCACCGTCTGCGTCCCGTTTTTCTTTCTGATCGGTTTCCTCAACACCGACTCCGGATATCGCATCTGGATGGAGAAAACAAAGGCCTTGTGGCATTGGCTGCGGCCAAGGGCGAAGAAGTTGGAAGCCGAAGCGCAAGCAGACGGGGATGGGGAGAGGGACTATGAGCTTCGCCTGCATCGGACGATGAGTAGGAGCTTCACGACGGAGGAGGGGATGAGGCGGAGGTTTGGTGATGCTGGGAGGAGGATGAGGAGGGAGAGCAGCGTAGGGGCCGAAGAGGGGCTGTCGCATATCAGGAGGATCATCGAGGAGGTCGGGGAGGGGAAGCAGGGCGTTTCGAGGACTAAGGGGAGGGATTGTGGGATGTGTGACAAGGGAAAGGGTGTCGATGAGGTGGAGGGGAAGGGAGTGGTACATGCGTCTCAAGATGCTGTTATCAATATTGATGGAGATGCCGGATGAGAGAGTATACTGACGCCAAGAACAGGAGTGCCGGATGCCTTGATCCCGACGATCTGGTGCAAATGAACGTCATGACCGTTATAGCTTGGTTTTTGCTCCGGTACCCTTTCACGCACCTTGAATTCTTAACCTTTAGGTGGAGCGCAGGCGTACGTCCAAAGGTGGAGACAAAGCGCAGACGCTACTCGACAGCTCCTCTTATGAAACCGACAGAATGGCAACTCCTGTCTTCTGATACGATGTATAGTTTTCAAGGGTTGGGACGGCTTAGACGTGAGGAAATACTATCAAAAGAAGATGCATGGAAATACCATGGCGAATGCAACAGTCATGCTGGGAGAGGGATCGCGCATGCACACAGAGCGAGGTCAGGGTAGTGCTGCAGAGTACATCTATCGGGTAGCTTAAACGAGTTGGGTTGCTAATTCGCTCCGACGTGTCCGATACACAGTGGGATGGCACCGGCGCCTGTGCTCTTGCGGGAGGATTACAGAGTAGTCTATCAGGATCCGCCTACTCTGTAGATGATGGGACGAATCGTTGTTGGATGGTACCTAGTATGGTATACGGTTATGCGGGCGATACCCAATCTGGCAAGGTGGGCGCATAGAGGCTTACACGTCAGTGCCGTGAGGTCTAACAGGTTGGAGCATGCTGCACAAGGCTTTGAACGCTGCGTCTAGTCCGATCACTTCCGAGATACCTTGCCGTTAGCTTCTTTCAACAACAGTGGCGACTGATGGACCATCTGAAGGGCTCCAGATAGGGCGTCGGACCCACCACTAGCAGGAGCTTTGACCACATCTTTTTCGGACATGAGGGTGGACTTCGATACTGTAGATCTCACGATTCACCACCAACCAGGCCTCTCGCAGCATTCTTGATTGGAAAGGTATGCCGATAACACCTCCTTCTTAATGATAGCTACTAAGTTTTCCGGGACAGTCAAGAGTCTCCATCTCGGGTCCCTGGAAAAGCTCTCCATCTTTGTCTTTCGCCCCGCAGCCCATCCGGTTGCTTTTTTTTCCTTAGCTCCTAGAGCAGAATTTTCTTCTGACTCCCCAGCACTCCTTGAAGGCCTGTACAATCTACATCAACCTCGACACCGCTATCCATCACTCTCAATAACCGGGAATCCAAAGTCGAACGTATGACATTGAAAAGTGTGCCCACCATGCAGCTGAGTAGCAGACACCCTGATCAAGGTACCCACTAGCAATAGCATGAGACCGGTGTTCGCCAGCCATTCAAGCTTACGGACGGTTGCTCTCGCTTTGGCTTGGAGTGGTTCCATTGGCCTGATTGCTGGTGTTCTGAGAAAAACGGTCTGAACTTGAACAGGATAATGCCTGCGAAAGGACATCATGCTCTGCTCGCTCCCCTTTTGAGGGGCACTACTGACGTGCAACAGGCGCAAATGGAGCCTCGCCGCCAATCTACTGCTTCTCCATCTGAGAAGGGCGGCCATATAGCCCTTGCTCCAAGCAAGGGCCTCCCTACCACTCATGATACGGAACCAGCAACCCTCGTCGGAAGGCTGCAACTGAAATGGCGGAGCTTCGAGAGATCCCTGGTTGAGTACAACTTGGAAGCACGGGGCATCGAACGTGTCGAACCCGATGAGCGTCACGATCTTCGTACTCTGGGGTATGCACAGATTGCGATTCTGTGGGTGTCCTTCAACCTTGCAGCAAACAACATCACCTTGGGAATGCTCGGACCGGCAATCTTCCACCTGGGATTTCTTGACAGCTGTATGTGTGCCGTCTTTGGAATGCTGGTGGGATGCCTTCCTGTGGCCTATATCGCGACATTTGGACCCCGGAGCGGAAATAGGACCATGATTGTTGCTCGGTCAGTCGCCATCGACGTTGCGTATCATTTCCTGCATCCGCTGACATGTATCGCAGCTACATTATGGGATGGTGGCCTTCGAAGTTGGTGGTCATTCTCAACATCATCGTGCTGCTCGGATATGCCTTGATCGACTGCGTCATAGCGGGTCAAATCCTCTCTGCTGTCTCAGACGGCACCATGTCCATCGTGGTAGGCATCATTATCGTTGCCGTAATTACATGGGGAATCACGACCTTTGGTTACGAGATCTTCCACTACTACCAACGGTTTGCGTGGCTTCCGCAACTGATCGCGCTGTGCATCCTTGCGGGGGTGGCAGGTCCAAGCTTCAATATCTCTTCGGCATCAGTTGGAAACTCCACGACCATCATCGGCAACAGGATTTCTTTCTTCGGCCTCAATCTGGCTGCGGCTATTACCTATGGCGGGGGCGCCGCTGACTACTTCGTCTACTACCCGGAGCACGCATCCTCATGGAAGATATTTGGTATGTCAATGCTTGGTCTAACCACTAGCTTCACCTTCGCCTTCATTGTTGGAATCGGACTCGCGTCGGGGACTTTGACGAACGGAGCATGGGAAAGCGCTTCCCAAATCTCCCAAGGTGCTCTCATTGTGGAGGGTCTCAAGCCCTTGGGTGGATTTGGCGGTTTCTGCAGTGTTCTCATAGGACTCGGCTTGGTCAGTAACTTGATTCCACCCACGTATGTACCACGACCTTTGTACGTACATTTACGCCACTGACGAACATCCTAGATACTCATCGGGCATCGACGCCCAGATTCTCGGAAGATGGGCGACGGCGGTGCCTCGTGTCATCTGGAACACGGTGGGCGTGATCATCTACACTGTATGCGCTGCCGTAGGCCGAGAGCATCTTGCGGAGATTTTCACAAACTTCTTGGCGCTGATGGGCTACTGGGTCAGTGTTTGGGTTGCCATCTTCCTCGAAGAGCATCTTTTCTTCCGTCGAAAGAACGGGTTCAACTGGTCCATTTGGAATGACAGGAACAAGCTTCCCCTGGGTATCTCCGCATTGATCGCGTTCTTGGTGGGGTGGGTTGGTGCGATTCTTTGCATGGCCCAGGTTTGGTATATTGGGCCCATCGCCAAGCTCGTGGGTGACTATGGTGCCGATGTGAGTTTGTCTTATCCTTCACAGATCAGGGGTGCTTACCTTTTGCAGATGGGAAATTACGTGGGATTTGCTTGGGCTGCTCTCGTGTACCCGCCGCTTCGCATATGGGAGCTGAGCAGATTCGGAAGGTAAACGGCTCGCACAACAAGTACAAGTCCGACCGGTCTTTGTTATGCTGCAGCATACGTAGGAGAGGTTGTCGCCACTGGGCTTGCTGGATTGCGATGCTGTATTGTATGGAGGAGATTGTATCAGGCCAGACTATACCGTGCAGAGTGAAGTGAGGGTAGGTGCAAACAGTCTGTCTAATTTCACCCTCACCTTCGCTATACAACCGTGGAGTACGCTTCACCCTCCCAATGACGTGACAACTCATGAGGTAGAACCTGAAGGCTCCCATTCTCACCTTCCTCTCTTGCAGTCGAGGTGAAGGCGAAGGAGTCCTCGGATGCCCGGTTGCCTCTTTGGAAGGTCTTGGCATTCGCGCGCCCAGTTTCTACCTGCCCCGTCCTTTCACCTTGTTTCTCTTACAACCTTGGAACAGCCATACTCTAGTTCTGCTCTTACCACCTTACGAGTTCTGCAAACCCTCCATCGCGTTTGGGCTGCTTCTGTCTTCTGTCCAGCCTGGCCCGTAGTCGGACACTGACTGCTTTCTGGTCTGTGGAGCATGCCTGGCATATCATCCGCCAAAATGGTCAACAGTACGTATATCCTCTGGCCACTCCGCCTACTCTTCCCTCATCTGCCTAGCAGCGGAGGACTTTGATCTGGTCAGCTTCTCAAGTGAGGCTAGTACCCTTTGGCATACTGCACCCAGTCACGGCGTCTCAGAAGGTGCGGCACTGCACCAATGGATCCCACTGAGCTCCGCTAATGCTAATGCGTATACAGAAGGCCAGGGAAATTTGGCTGGATCCCAGAAATCGAAGCCGGCAAGCAGCGACAGTTTCGCAGAACTTTACCAGTTTGCGCGGAAGAAGATTCCATCCTTGTCAGTTGCTACGCCAAAGCCGGCCAATAATGGTAAGCTATTGCCACTGAAAGCCACTACGGATGAGTCTAACATCTGCTTAGGGATCGCGACCATGGTTTCCGCCGCACGGCCTGCGTCTTTGCCAGTTGGACCTGATAAGAAGTTCAACATTGAGCAACCGACACCAGGCCGCCCAAATGCATTGAGTACGGAGAACATCAGTCGACTAGAAGCTCAGGCGAATGCTCGCACACACAAGGAAGACCTCCTTGGACTCTTCTTCAGTCAGGAAGATGTATCAGTACAAGCACCATGCAGCCTTAAACCGAAGATAGCCTCATCGGCTGGCCTCAGAGGAGGCTCTGGCGATCAGCTCAACAGCACCTCCTCTCCAAATGCGATCAGGTACGACGAGGCCTCACCACCTTCCTCCAGCAGTCCTGTTAGGTCCCCGCCCGAGCAATCACCTTCTACCGCGGCGTGCGGGAGCACCCAGGAGACGAGCCAACCTTTCAAGAGCACCGCACGGGGAGCATCCGCTACGCACGTCATCGTTACAAACGGATTCAACGGTTCACATATTCAAGCCTCAGGGGTCAGTCTAGAACAGGTCTCTCCTCAGTCGAGCAAATCCCAGGCAGATATAAGACTCAAAATGAAGGACGATATCATTCAAGATCTTCTGTCCCGCAACACTGAAGAGGCAAAGATTAGCAAGCAAAAAATCCACCACCTTGAGACTCAACTTGAACTCTGTTACAAGGAGCTGGCTGGGTTGAAGGCAAAGTTGAAGCGCCTGCCTGAAATCAAGGCCGCCAACGACGAAACGAGGACGTTGCGGACAACGCTCGCTGCCAGAGAAAAGAAGATCTGTGAGCTAGAGGATGCACTGAAGAACGAGAAAGGACAGTGCGCATTTTTCATGGCTCAGTCGCAACAGGTAGATGTGCTAAAGGAGGAGCTGAAAGCACTAAACGAAAAGTTGAAGAAGAAAACCTCAGAAGCGGACAAACAACGTCATGAGAGCGATCGTCTTAAAAAGGCCCATGAACGGCTCAGCGATACCTACCAAAGTCTTCGAGGCGCCGCTCATCTCGTTCAACCGGACCCGAGGGAGAAGCTGCCTAGAGAGGTGTTCGCTTGTGTCGAATGTTACGCCATGAACGAAACGTGCGACTATGGTACCACTTGCAACTACTGTCGCCAGAACAACTACAGATGCAGACGGTTCCGCTGCAGTCTTCAGCATGTCCTCAAGAAGGAGTGCGGTCCTCTGTGCGTTTTGAAACATAGCCAGAATGGCTGGCTTATCCAGGAGAAGGCGCGACCGGAGTGGTGAGGGGATATAAGGGCGTGAGATTCAGTGATACGGCGGACAGGGGCAGTCGGGGGCATCAGTATTCAAGGTTCGACTTGCGGAACGTTCTCTCGTAGGGTCAGCGGCTTGAGGTTACCTCTGGTGCCAGATGTTCCGCATTTTGGAAGGAGACGGTGGACTTTGGCCTGTTCAAACCGACCAAAGGGAACCAGGTTGTCATGAGAGCAGGACTATGACATATCAGTGGGCAGCATACGTTTGATATGCATGGCGATCGCTTCTGGTGCTTCGTTTATATGCAGTGTATAATGTGGGATAGGCAATACTCACCATGGATCTCCAATATCATCATTTGACTGCGTCTTCATTACTGCATCTGATTGCGTGCTCTTGGTCTCATGTCTTCTCCTCTCCTCGAGAAGGTCCTGCTGATGGATTTCTGATGATAGAGTTGTATACCGCACTGTCTAGAGGGTTGTCCTCAGGGTGGTGGCCCATCTGCACTTTCTTGAGCACTTGAAGTAATAACACAGACAAAGATTGGTCCATGTAACATGGGCGTATCCAAAGTGCTATTGCGTGCAACAGCAGACAGGTTGAAAGAGCCGTATACACTGATTCAAATCGATCCTTAGGTCGTGAACCCTCTCTCATTCAAATTTTAATAAATAATACATGCATTCCAAATCAATCTGATCTGGTCCGTCCATCCTACCTAGATGCGAAAAGCACTCTCATCAAGAGTGGAAAGAAAGCCCTGTTTTACAACGCAGAATGACACTTAAGCCAAACTCCGATCCTGGCGGCCAAATGCCCACCTCTGGTCCACCCAAAGGGTTACACTTGCTCCACCTCTTCAGATTATAAATCCCATCGTAACCTACTTCTTCTCCTGTGCCCCCTGGGCCGCCGCACCAGCACCACCGCCAGTCAAGAATCCAAACATGCCCTGCTTCATCCCCTTCATCTGCTCCTCCATGAACTTCTTCTCTTCCTCCGCCATCTCCTTGAGCCACCTCTCCCCATTCTCCCTAATCTCCTTCTCCATCGCCTCATACTGCTTCTGGCCCCTCTCGCGGAACTGATCGCTCAGCATCTTGCCCTGCTCCAGGCCCTCGCTGACACTGTGTCCATCCCCCAGCGTCATACCCGTTGGCTGGCCCTTCAGCCCCAGCGCACCCATGATGGCATTCCCAGCGCTGAACTTGGGTTTCTTGGATTTTCGGGCCTCGAGCTCCTTTTGGAATTCCTCGCGGGCGCGTGCCTCGCGCAGGGCGAACTCAGTGGCGATGTCCTTTCCTTCAAAGGATTTGATGGCCTGGCGGACGTCGGGGACGCCCATCATGGCGAGGTATTCGAGGAAGGGGATCAGGGCTACGAGACCCTTGTCGCGGGGGTCGCCTTTCCATTTGGGCAGGATGATTGCGTTTTCGGGTTGCAGTTTGACGTGCGCCGGGTCGGTGTCGATGATGATGGTTTTAGAGAGGTCACGGTTAAGGTAGGAGAGGTCCTGAGGAGTAGTTGTTAGCTTGCTGTGGGTGAGAAGATGTCGCCAAAACATACCTTGATGTATTCACCCTTCTCGTAGCGGGTGGCCTCGCGGAACAGGGGCCACATGACTATCCGGAAAGGGTCCAGCTTGCGGATGATGGGGTCTGCGTCAGTGGAGCGGACGGTGGTGAAAATGACGAGTTCGTAGTACTGGCTGAGGTAACGGAGAAAGTAGTCCACACCAGGCCTCTTTGCGGTCCGCCAGCCATGCTTGGCTGTCCATTCCGAATGCACCAGCAAGTCTTCTAAGCTGAGGACGAGGGTCATGGGAGGCGCAGGGTCGATGTCGGGAAGGAGTTTGGGAAATGTGGGCTCGGTGTAGTAGCCCATTTGGCTGCTAAGACGGGCACGAGCGCGGGCGTATATGGCACCGGGTGACCATCCTGCTGGTGCATCTGGGTGTGCGTTCCTCTCCTCTTCCGACTCCCAGTCCCGGCCTAAGTACAGCGCACCCACGACGCCAAAGGCGAGGGTCGACGCGTAACCCCAATTGGCAATGCGATTCCGCCTCCGATCTGTGCTGGTCTCGTACGCTGACTTGGGAAGCTCTCCGGTCTTGTGCTCGCCGAAGCCACCTGGCGCCGGCTCTTTGTCGGGATCTTCAGTGATGTTGTTGGGGTTGTGCTCGTGCTTCCTCCCTCCTGATGCTGCCTCATATTCCTGGCCGAAAGTGGAGGGGATGCCATATCGTAGGTCTGGTAGGGGCTTTTGGGGTTCTTGGGAAGCGGGAGCGTCCGTAGTGGGGGCAGTGTTCTCCTCCTCCGACTTGGGCCCAGAAAACTCGGTCTGCTCAGTTGTGTGATCCTCCTGTGCTCCCGACCGTGCGGCACTCCTCGCCCTAGGACCTGGTTGAGATGTCGGTTCGGTGTTGCTCTCGGGTGATGCGCTGGTCTCGAATTCGGGTTGTTCTTGCGGGTGAACTATCTTCGACTCTTGGAACTTGATGGGGTCAGAGGGTTTCCAGGTATGATCGCGATCAGGCTTCTTCGTGTCTGCGTATGACCGTGACCATTTGGATGTGGATGCTATGGAAACTGTGCGAGGGACGACGATGGCCGGGCGGGCGCGCAACGCGCGGAAGGCAGCTCTGGGAAGCATGCCGGAAAAAACTTTAGGTTACAGACAAAATCCCCACAGATTAGAACGTAGATGTAGGCGAACAATACAAATACATAAGATGGAAGAAAATAGTAGACGTCGGCTGCGAGCTTTCTGTGAGGAAAGAATTGAGCTCAGCCAAGCTCACGACACCCCGGCCCCATGCCCTGCGCGCTAAACCCGTTACGTCATTCTTGACATCTGTACACTGTTAAGCCCAACCCCATAAGCATGGCATCTCCAACGTCGCCATGATCTCCACCCCCTTTTCTACGTATATCTTAGTTTCCTTGGTGAAGATTCTCTTTTCCTAAGCCCATGTCTCTCTTTGGAACCGAGAACGGGCATGCAATCGAGTGGAACGCCTCACGAGCGGGTGCCGCGCATGCTCCGAGGCGACAGATTTCCGCTCAAATGGCTTGTGGTACTGGTGCTCGTCACATGTTTGGTGAGTTTAGGGCGTGGCATGACCGATGACACTATATCGGCTCTCCGGTAATGTCGAAACCATAATTGAGGAGCTATAGCTGACATGTCCCAGGCAAGAGACAGTTGATATCTTCTACCATGGGTTCGACAACTACATGGCCCATGCCTTTCCCGAGGATGAACTACAGCCATTGACTTGCGGGCCTCTCACTCGCGACCGCGCAAACCCTGCTCATATTGAGGTCAACGATGTTCTAGGGAACTACTCCTTGACCCTAATCGACAGTCTGTCTACGCTCGCAATCCTAGCATCCTCGCCTCCGCCATCGAAGGGTGTCCGAAACAAGCCTCTGCAGGATTTCCAAGACGGGATCAAATCACTCGTGGAACACTACGGAGATGGGAGCGACGGGCCTACAGCACAAGGAAAACGAGCGAGAGGTTTTGACTTGGATAGCAAAGTGCAGGTTTTTGAAACCGTCATCCGGGGCGTTGGTGGTCTGTTGAGCGCCCATCAATTTGCGGTGGGCGATTTGCCTATTCGAGGATATGCCCCCAAGGTTCAGCGGAAATGGGGGAGAGAAGGGATTTTCTGGCCCAATGGGTTCATATACGATGGCCAGCTGCTGCGTCTTGCTACCGACCTGGCGGAGCGGCTCATGCCGGCCTTCCAGTCACCCACCGGATTACCGTATCCGCGCGTGAATTTGCGTTTTGGAGTGCCATTTTACGCAAACTCGCCCTACAATGCAAATGCGACGAATGGATCCGCTGGCACGAACCCTGAAGGTGCAAGTCCGGAGATAACCGAGACCTGTAGCGCTGGGGCAGGAAGCCTTGTGTTAGAATTCTCAACCTTGAGCAGGTTGACGGGGGATCCGCGTTACGAAAGAGCAGCGAAAGCAGCCTTTTGGGCGGTATGGGAACACAGGAGCAACATTGGGCTGATAGGTGCAGGCATAGACGCTGAATCTGGGCAATGGGTATCTCCGTATACTGGCATCGGCGCTGGGATTGACAGCTTTTTCGAGTACTCGCTCAAGACCCATATACTGCTCTCCGGCCTTCCATATGACACCCAGCATGCGGATCTCGATTCACCAGACGCTTTCCTCCAAGCATGGGAAGATGCCCATGAAGCCATTAAAAGACATGTCTATCGTGGAGCCGGCTTTCAACATCCCCATTATATTCAAGTCGATTTGTACACAGGAGCATTGCGGGCTTTCTGGATAGATAGCTTGAGCGCTTATTACCAAGGCCTACTTACCCTTGCCGGGGAACTGGAAGAGGCTATCGAAACGCACTTGCTCTACGCTGCACTGTGGACCAGATACTCCGCTATGCCTGAGAGGTGGTCCACTGCAACCGGCAACATTGAGCATGGCCTTCGTTGGTGGGGTGGTCGGCCAGAGTTCATCGAGTCCACATGGTACCTGTACAGAGCGACTCAAGATCCTTGGTATTTGCATGTGGGAGAAATGGTTCTCCTAGATATCAAGCGCCGATGCTGGACCAGATGTGGATGGGCAGGCTTACAAGATGTCCGTACCGGCGAGTTGAGCGATCGCATGGAGAGCTTCTTCCTTGGGGAAACAGTCAAATACTTGTTCCTGCTTTTTGACCCATCCCATCCCCTGAACCATTGGGATGCCCCCTTCGTGTTCACTACAGAAGGCCACCCGTTGATAATACCTCAACGCCTAAGGCAATCGAAATCCGGGCAACGTCAACCGCTGTCAGAAACGCGTCCTGTTCCAGGCATTTGTTCTGTTCCGCCTGCTGCTGTTCCGCTAAGCGGATCGGCTGTTGCTGCACGAAAGGATATATTTCATGCGGCAAGCCTAGCTAGACTTCATCTGATGCCGACTGCGAAGTCTGCGGAGTCGTCTTTCATCGAGAAGACCGAAGGGCATCCCAGTTTGTGGGGGATACCATCTCCTTCAAATTACACATACTTTCCGTGGACGCTACCTGTGGATCTTATTCCCTCGAATGCGACGAGTTCAGCTATGACTCTACGGACCACCTTCGACCTTTCCTTTCCGAATATGCCTGAGACACTACAAACAGGCGGGTTCCAGCGTGTCCAGGAGGGCATTCTGGTCAACTCCATGAGCGGGCTTCGCCTCGGTATGGTCCGTGAACCAGACATCTTCTCTTCGAACAATGCGGTCGCATTCGACGAGCATTTTCGCATCTACGCTGTTTCTAATATTCCACTAGGGCGGGACGAAAAGGTATATATGTCCCGCTCTACCATCGACAGCTTTAACCCTCTGGACCCTTTTTTCACGCGTATCCGTGATGCCCAAACCGTGGATCTCGTCATCGATGCCCCGTCTCCTCCGTCAGCTGCACCGTCATCGAGCAGCCTTGCCAACGTCGTTGAGGATATCCTAGGTGATGGTAGTAACCTGTCCCGTTTCGAGGCGATGGAGAGCTATGAGTTTGAAGTGGATCCGCAAGCATTGGCCACCGAGCCGTCGTACCTTTCATCGCTACTCGCCTCGTTGCAATCACTCATATCCGCCCCTGCCCCTTCATCCACAAAGCCACCCTTGTCGTCCTCGTCTGCATCCCTAGCATCTGAAAGCAAGCGACATGTTGTTCCCGGAACGCTTCCCACAGGACCTGGTGCGGCCCCTCTACCAGACGTAGAAGATGCGCAACTCTCATACAGCACTTCTGATAAGCTAAGCTGGTGGTCTGTCTATGTCCACGAAGGGACTTTGTGTGAAGACCGTCTTCCACCCGACATTCCACGGAATCATCAAATCGTTGTGATTCCTCGTGGCGGCTGCTCGTTCTCTAAGAAGCTACGCAATATTCCACCTTTCCCGCCAAAGCGAACTTCCCTACAGCTAGTTGTTGTAGTCAGTTATCCTGAACACGATCATCCGAGCTTCTATCAGTCTAATGCGAGCAATCAACAACACATGCAAGACAACACTTATTCCGAACAACCCATTCAAAACGATGTTGAGCAATTGGGCGGAGAAGTACATGTCTTAGAGTCCGATGGGGGTACTGGACACAACGAACCGGATCCAGAAGCACATGCACCTCTACCCAGGCCTTCCGGAGCGAAAGTTGCCTCAAGCAAATCACGACATGGTGCGGGATCTCAGCAAGCCCAGCCAAAATCCGATCATCACCAACATTTCGGCTTGGTGCAGCCCCTGCTCGACGAGATTCAGTACACTCCTGCAGGTCTCCCACGCCCGAACCCCATACCTCTGATCATGGTCGGTGGTGGTGACGAGACCATTGCTTTGCTGAGGAGGTCCCAGGGCGTGGGTATTAGGAGACGATACTTCTTTTCAAGTCAAGGAGTGAAGATTGGGAATCTTATCGTTCTATGAGCATGACACCATCTCCTGGGTTGCATTCTGCTTGTCTTGATGTAGCTGCACCTTGCCCGAGTTGTGCTTCGGGAACAATGATTGGGTAGGGTAGCGGAATTGTACTTCGTGGTCTTGAGCTCACGGCCGAAATGTCTGGTGAGCGTACTATATGTGTATATATTTTCTTTCGACGACCTGAGGCACACTACGAAAGGTATGAAATGTACATAAGTATAGGCTTTCAGCTTAAGGCGGCTTCTGGTTCAGAAAAACGTTTCTGATCTTATGGTGCGTTCTTCGTTCTACCCCATTTGCGGACAGCAACTCAAATTCATGTGCATGTGATATTTTGAACTCACATGCTATGGCATCGAAAAGAGCGGAGACCAGCTTATGTTTCTACTCCTAGGATACGTTGTGTAGTTCTACAATCTCGCCTCTTCGCTGGAGGACGGAAGAAACCTGGACGAAGAGATAATGCCTTGAACCTGGGTTCCGTAATCTGTCACGTTCAGAGAGTGTTTGAAGACTAGGTGCCGATAGACAAATCAAGCATTCACTGGGGTTATCATTCATTTGCAAGACTGCATCAGAAAATCAAAAACCAAGGAGATATGTCTGTGGCGATGGACAAGGTCAGGCAGCATATGTTCGCAGGAGCAGCGAGGATACTGAAGCCCGAATTCTCACGAGTCCATGACAATTGCTAGGAGTCGATAAAAAACGGATACTTTGCGATACCATGGCCCAAGCTATCCTTTGCAAAGATAAAGATGCAAAAGTGCCGAATCGTATGCAGATGTCTGCCACCAAGAGAAGCCGATAATGAGCATGATGTCCTGCAGACGTAGTGATCTCGCACGGATTCTGAACACGCTAACTGAGGCATTTATGAAGAATTCGGCGCGAATAAATGATAATCTTTGATGCAAGTCTGCTTCAATGGAAGACCACGGTCACTAAACCGTTCAAGTCATGTTCTCCGTAAAGAGGGGTTTGAAGCTGTAATCAGGCGTTTTATGTCCAAAGATGACGGACCGATCCATTTATGGTTTGCAGAAGCAGGAGGAAGTTTGAACCAGCACCTTAAACAAACTCCGGACCAGCGAATGGCCCTCCCAATGCGTTCATAGTTATGCCGATAAAGGAAAATGAGGCCCCCACCACCGATTCATTGATACCTTCTTTCCTGCAACCTATCCTACTAGGACTACACAACTGTTGCATTAAAATCATCCACAACGAATATCATGTTCCGAAGGAAGTGAACCTCAACCGCAATTTTAAAATAAACCCTCGTCGGTTTTTTACATGGCCTGTGTCATTGAGTTTGGGGGCGGTGGCAGCCAGAAAGCCGCATCATACTCGATGATCTAGCCCTTTTCACGTTTAAATCACCCTACATATTACACATGACTATTGCTATAAAATGAGCTTGAGGGTTCTTCATGTTCTGAGGAAGGAGAAGGGAGTAAGCTGCATCCGGCTTCCTTGTGATGAACTTGAAGTGCGCCGTCGACTCCAGTGCCGCGCTGATAAGGAAAAGACGACGACTCATTGGATGAAGCAAGACGTCAATTCCGTGAAAAAGCTTTGACGGCCATGTAATTTCCATTCCAAACGGACTCTTCCCACCTGTTACGTTCTGCGGAAAGGAGGAAGAGGAGAGAAAAGAGCGCCCTAAGCCGTCCTTTTGAAAACACAGCTCCTTGGTCTTATGCGCCAGTCAACCACCTACTCGAGTTCCAAATAATAGTATGTCAAACATTTCGATACTCATGCATGTCTTATAAAGAAGCTGATATAAAGCAACGTGTTGTGTTTCAAGATACAAAACTCAAAAGCCCAAAGGCCAAAAAAGAGATGACAAAAGAAGAGGGAAGCATTGGTGTGGCCGTTAACCAGATCCAAAGAACAACGCCTGATGGTCGAAGACGTGGGTCCTTCATCTACAGAAATGCTTGAAAGCACTCTTTGGTTGTTACATATGTAAGAGCCCGTCCAGCGAGATGTAGGGGTGCTACAACGGCAAAGGGAATGTCTCCAACTCAAGCGCCGCGGCCGTCGTCGGAGGAAGCACTGCTTATGCCGCCGGCTACATATGTATGAGGCTACGTTCATTCTTGCAGTGCTCTCACCTACATGCGGGACGTTGTCTTTCTTTTTTTCTCTCCAGAAACGAAAAAGCGAAAACAACTAGTAGCAAGTCACCTGGCCGAAGCACTAGAAATTCCTCCATCCCCGGAGGTTCATGCTTCTTTCAAGGAGCAAGGATAGGGTATGGGCGATGCGGAGAAGAAGATGATGGTGATGGTATATTGTGGGGAGGGTGATCTATATAATGTAAACCTCCATGTGATAGATGGCAGTCATGGATAGGCAGTCATGGATAGGCAGTCATGGATAGACACTACAGGACACATGGAGAACAATAAAATCGTGTTGCTAGATCAAGACATGCAGGATTGACGCTCCGATAATTACTTCCATTATCTGCTATTCACAAGATAAAAAGGGGCACGCTGCGATCATCCTCTTCTCCACTTCTCCGCACGCCTCTCTCCTCAGCTCAACCATGAACGACCGCCACCTACGCGCGCAGCTTGCTAGCGGAAGGCATGTACACCTAAAATCTCTCCCCCACTCCTTCCTCCACCACCCCAAGCATATGCACAACCCAAGATTCCGCATACCCAACCGAACCAACTAACACCGAAGGGAGAAGTCGCAGCAAAGGATCGACATGAAGCCAGCCCATTAAAAGACCAGAGATAGGACCAAAAGATAGCATGATAAACAACCAGTTCAAGACCCAAAGCACAACAGCAGCCCCTCATCACCTATCTACAGAACAATAAGCCCCAGAACCGCCACCACGATAGCGACAGCACCACCGCCCACCTTGCCCAGCCCAGGCTGCAGACTTGTACCCGCGCCCTTGCCATCGTTCTGAGAGAAACCATTGTTACCCCCGTTGTTCCCACCGCCAGCACCCTGTCCATCCGGCGCATCCGTCGCGGCGGGGTCAGAGCTGTCGGCGCCATCGCCACGACCGCCGCCGCCAGGGTTACCTCCAGGGACAAGGTTGACAGACTTTGTAGGCTTGGGGGCGTTGGAGGCGGTGCTGGCGCCTTCCTGGGGATCTTCGCCAGTGGCATAGAGGGAGCCGAGGATGACTTGTTTGTCGGAGAGCTCGACGGTGTTGTTGGTGGCGGCGCGGTCGGTGTAGACGTAGGATTTCTGGCCCTTGCCCTTGGCGCCGGAGGGAGGGTCGTAGCACTCAACGGAGACGGATTTGATTTGGGCGTAGTAGTAGCCGTTGGACATGTAGGGCGAGTTCCAGTCGATCTCGCCGCCAGCCCAGTCGATGGTGCCCTTGGCGTTTGTGGGGAGACCGGCGGGCCAGAGGGAGAGCATGATGCGGGAGGGGGTCTGCGGGTAATCGAAGCGGTTGGAGGTGGAGTTCCACGTGTCTTTGCGGTTTACCGTTCGCAGTTCCTTGCCGTCGATGGCCCATGTGAGGGTATCGGGCTTCCAGTCAATGCAGTACTCGTGCTCCTGTTCCACACTGTTACCACCGGGGATGCTCAGATTCCTGCTGTTTGTATCTAAAAGGGTCAGCGGGACGAACAATCATGAGGCAAATCGCAGTACATACAGACAGTGACACCCTGGGAATAGTAGTTGGACTGGACGTTTGCGATGTCGACACCGACCCACTCGAAATCGATTTCGTCCTTGGCGTCGGACATCATGATGAAGGCCGTGACAACGCCCTTGCCCTGGGACGTGGTCATGCGGGCACAGATCTTGCCATACCAGATGTAATGCGCCGAGGAGAGGAGGGTTCCGACTGTGCCTTCGGCCATTGTGAGGAGGATGGAATCCTCGAAGACGACAGGCTTGCCCTGCGAGACCCAGTTGACCTTGGAGGCGTCTCCCAGGTACTTATCAATGGACTGGACATCGTCGAGGGAATTGAGCTTGAAGTCACCGCTCTTGCACTGGGGGTTGGGCAAGCAGGCTTCGAGGGAGTGGGAGTGGACGGGATCGCAGCCTTGGACACAGAAAGCGCCTACACCGCAGTCCATGTACACTGTCAATCAGCAGTCAGCGTTCCGGTCCCAGCGATGATGTCGGTGGCGGGTACGTACAGCCGCAGCATGGCGCATCTTTAGGACAATTCTGCCCAGGGCCAGCTTTCTGTGCGGTCGCGGTGCCCGTCAAGGCGGTGGCCGCGAGAGCGGCCGCAACTGCGCGTCGGAACATGGCCGCAGCCTCTCTCAGGTGTCAAGGTAAGCGGAGCGGGATGGTTCGAGGTTGTTCTAGGGGAGTGCAGCTGTCAAACGATGCTGCGTTACGGTCGATGCTACAGGTGTCCCAGGCTTTGGGTGAAACGTGAGGGCGAGGAGGGCAAGCGAATGGAAGGGCTTTGGGGAGTTCCCTTTCTGAGGGAGAATGGTGTAGCGAGCGTCGAGGGAGTATTATACTGTAAGAATCTAAAGGGCGAATTAGCAAAAGCGAGTGTGAGGCGTCAACGAGGGACGATTGCGACGAAGAGGAGAAGAAGAAGAAGAGGATGGAAGCAGGTTGGGACGGGTGAGCGACGAAGGGGAGAGAGGGAGGGACGCCAAGGCCCGTTCGACCGCTTCCGGGTTGGGTCCGCTCGTGACCAACCGTAAGGAACCGGGAGATAGCCAACGGTAGACCAACTCCTCGGACGAGGCACCCTTGGGGGGGAACTGGCCATGCTGCTTCCGGCTACCGCTATTCCCGCTTCGGCACTCCTTTAAATTCTATGGTATCTCAAGAAGACCCCCAACCCTGAAGGCGGAAATCCGGGGTAGCAATCCCATCTCCATCCACAGCAGGCGGGCGCAATCAATATCCAGTGGAACAGTGAAAACAGTGAAAACGAGATCCACCCCGAGTAATAACTTATCGTCAAGCAGTTTGAAAGGTTGGTGCTAGGTAATATTCGACTCTCCTAAACCCCGTGGGTACCTTTGTGGCGCACGGTTTTGTTACACAGTGTGAGCTATTCATAGAAGCAATATTACGCTGCTGCGCCACCACTCCACCTTAGCTGCTGCCCAGGTGGCACACGACAGAGTGCGGTACGTACTGTTGATTACTTCTGGTATGCTCAGGGGCCATGAGGGTAATCATCGCCACCCCTCCATGGAACCACATATGTCGCCTACCAAAGGGAAATAGGGAATATCATAGGCATGCACCTCGGAAGCCGCAGTATGAAGGAGCCTTGTAGAATACAAGAGGTAAAACAACATTCGGTGGCTATCGCGGGAGACCATCACAAGAGCTGGACGCACGGGGGAAGAGAACTAGTCGACAGTCATTTGTATTCCTAACACCCAACCAACGCCATCCATTGATGCTGGGTATAACCGGTATCCATTGTGCGCCTTTGTTCCACGATTGAAAGATTCACCATAGTGTCCGCCCATCACATTCCCATGCATGAAAAGATTCATACCATTGTCCGCCCATCACATTCCCTGACTGTGAAGTCGTATTCCAATATACCCTTCATGTGTATCGAAATGCATCATTCGAAAATGAAGTGTCCCAACCCCTAATGGCCTGCCATTGAGATTAGAGCAGCTGCAAAGTAACCAAATTATGCACGAAAAAGGAAAAGAAATAAAAGAGATACCGTCTAACGCCAGATGTAACATGCAGATGCAAATGCAGAACCAGAGACCAAGAAGCAGCAGCAGCAAAAGAAAAAAGAAAAAGGAAGGAAGAGGGTTTACTCCTCTATGTACCTACCCCGAAACTTGGCGCCATGGCGGTAGAAGTGCTCAGCGCGCTTCTGCTGAGGAAAGCCGGTGGCCGTGACGGCGGGTGCGGTGACCGTGACGCGCTGGGTAACCGTGATGCGCACAACGTCATCGCCGTCAGTCGGGGTAGCCGTGGGAACGTCACCGGGACGCTTCGTCAGTGTGGGAATCTGAAGCGAGGCGGTGGAGTTCTGGAAGGGAGCACCGCTGCTCGTAACCAGCGTGGTCTGGGTCATTGTAACCGAAGGCACCGAGCCAGTGGCGGTGCGAGTGGTGTTGAAGACGGGCCCCATCTCGAAGGACATGGCGTCCGTGATGACGGCGGTGCGAGAACGGAAGCCGTCCGGAGCAACTGACATGGCATCTTGTTGAACAAGACCGAGTTGAGCCTTGGCGCCCTGCTGGATCACGTCGACGACATCGACGTCCATGCAGGTGGTGTAGTACTCATCCTGGCCTTTGGGTAGACCGGGATCGACACCAGGGACCGTGTTCCACTGCCAGACCCAGTAAAGGGTGTAGGGCTTGCCGACAGCGGCATCCTTCGGGATAGCGACGTTGCTCTCGCAGAAGAGGGGGTAGTTACCCGGACCATCGGAGACCTGACCCGCAGCGTAGTTGGGAAACTTGGCCTGGCGCTCTTTGGAGATGGGCTTATCGTTGATCTCGTAGCAGCGTCCGTCGTCGTAGTTGTTCACCGTAAGGAGAACACCGCGCTTGTCACCGCCCTGGCCATCAGCAGTCCATTGAAGAACGTTCGCGAGCTTTTCGTCTTCCTTGGGCTGCGTGGTGCCGTAGATGTAGACGGGACCAGACTGGTCAGGCTTGCCAAGGCGCGTCTCGGGCTTGGTGATATGGCCGTTCTCCATGTAGCGCATGGCGATGAACTGGCCGGGAGCCGTCTTGAGCCGGGGGTACTTGTCCGACGACTGCTCGGGCTTGCGCTGAGCAGGGTGGCAGAGGGGCGAGTCTGCGCTGATGAAAGGGAAAGACTTCTCCTTGACCGAGGGCACCTGATGGTTCATCTTGTCGCCATCGTATCCGGGATCGGTCTTGGAGTACATGCCACGCGGGTAGCCGAACTCGCCGACGTAGTTGCCCTGCGCGTCGATGTTGCGCAGCTGTTCGATCCACGTATGGCCGAGAACTCCAGGAAGAGCGCCCGCAAGGAGCAGTGCAGTGGAGAGGGACAAGGCGGGCATTTTGGGATTGGCAGTCATGCTCACCTTGGACTGAACCAGAGCGTTGTGGGTTGATCAACAACAGAAGCTTGCCCGGCAAGCGAGTCGATCGAAGGAGTGGCGGGAACCTCGCGAGGCGGGTGCCTTGTTCGTAGAGAGCGTGCGTGTAGCGATTAGGAAGGAGGCGTAGAAGAAGGATTGAGAGAGTGTTGTCGAGGAGGAACGACGGGGAGGAGGTGGGGGGAAGACTTTAAGTGTGCGGAATTGTCTTGGCAACGGAAGGCAGGAGCACAATGATCAATCACCACAATGTGAAGACACAATGTGAGGGGACGAAGAGCCGATGCTGAAGTGAGAAGAGATTGGTCCTTGGCTCCTTCACCGCCGAGCAAACAATGCCATTGTGCGATGATAGTGTCGAGAATCCAGTGAAGGGATTGGGGAAGTCCGGTGATGTCTTCCTTTGTCTCCAGGTCTCCAGTGAATCCACCGATAGCCTTGTTCACAGACAATCCACGCAGCGGAAGAGGCGGAAGAAGACGAGCGTGAAGACGGGGGAGGGGAAATGAAGAAGTATGATGTGAAAGGCAAAGCGTTCAACGCGCAATACGGAAAGGACTTGTGAAGGTGAGAGTGACGCTCAAGCTCGTATTCAGCGGGTGATGTCGGCCCTTTATTCAGGCGACAGAATAGAATGCGACAGACGCCAGGCACAAGGAAATAAAATGGGAACCACTCTTCCCGAGAAGCAGAAAAGCAGTGAAGCTATGGTAGCCAATGAAGAGAAGGCGGCATGCGACATGGAAACCGAAACGCCACGACGCGCGCAATGCATTTGAGAATTAAGCTTTTTGAGCTTGCACCCACCGCTATGTTTCAGGGTTCAAGGCTGGACCTACAATGTAGCCGCGGAGTGTACCCGTTCGCGGTCATACAGCATGTTGGCGCAGATGCACGTCCATGGTCTCCGCGCCCGCGGGGGTATTGAGAGGGCGGCATGCTATTGTGGGAAATGAGGAGATGATCAGAGCCGAGCAGAGAGTGGATCGAGCTTCAAACGGCGAGATGGGAGCAAACAAACGCAGTGCCCAAGCTCCAGACAAACAAGTGGCTCACTCGAGACACGGGGAAAGACGCTTGGAAGGGGCATCATCCAAGATCCAAGGAGAGTGAGAGCGAAGCAGTGCGAGGGAGGGCGGGCGCCGTGGTGAAAGAGGATATGTGAGAGAGCAATGTGGGTACCACGCGACGACAGGCGGATATGCACCATTGCGGCGCTTCGAGATGGTGGAGCAAGAGTAGGATTGTACAAGTAGAAGATGGATGGAGGTCGTTGAAGCTTGGCGTTGGGCGGCGTTTCGGGAAGGTGACGCTAGAGCTGCTCCCGGCTAGGGCCCCGCAGATCCATACCTAACCTCCAGCCCTAAAGCCTTGGCCTGGTGAATTCCAACCTTTCCAACCTTTTCTATCAGCAGATGCCCTTTGCACCGACCATGGAAATTCACACCTGGGCATCACCATTTGCGTGCTCTGAGCGGAAACATTTGGGCGGAAAGTTTGCTTCTCCTTGATCCGATGACTTGGCGCTCTCCTCTCAGCAGACCATCCCCAGTAGTGATACATTCCTTCCACGATCCATCACCCTATCCATTTATCCACCTATCCACTACTCCCCTTCTTCCCGCCCGTCGACCAGCAAAAGCTTTCAGCAACGTGAGAGCGCACCCGGCCCGGTAAACGACGGCCACTCCCCACGCGCCAACCACCCCACGCCATGTTTCAGATCCTCCCGCTGTGCACCCGCCCACAACAGAGTAGATTGGCGCGCGCCCAGGCCTGGAAATGGGCCTTGTTCGATGCTTGATTGGGCTGCAGCCCATCAAATCATCGTGTCCGCTACCATAGTTCTGTACGCCCATCCAACCGCTCATCAAGGTCCACGTTTCTGCTGCTAAACAAATGGTTATCCGACATGTATTAATCGAGAGTCGTGCAACAAGCCAACCGAGCATATCTTGTACCTCTCGGAGCACTTGACCAAAAAAAAAAAACACGGCAGCAGCGTAGCATGTGCATATTCATATCAGAAGCTCCTCGTACCATATCCGGCATACATATGCTGCTTTCTTCTCCCTCCACCTCCGAGTCCACGATGCTTCCAACCCCTCGCATAACATGTTCTAGTGCCTTAGCCCTGCTCCTTGCCCACAGCTTCACCACGTGTACCCCCTCAGCATCACCTTGTTCCGTCTAGTTCCCACCATCAACCGGTCTTCAGCTCCGGCAAGTCGAACACTGCATCCGGAAGTCCATCAAGCCCAAGCTCCTTCGGTGCCGTGATGATGCCAAATTGCGCCACTCCTCCGTATTGCCTGTTCTTCCCGAAAAAACCCACAATCACTTCGTCTGCTCGAGGCGCCAGCTTCACAACGCCGCAGGCCTTCTCATCATCCATAGTTGCATCATCATCGCTGTAATCGTGTCCATCATTCATGTACCCGTATCCATCATCACCGTAACTGTATCCATCATCACCGTAATCGTATCCATCGTCGGTACAGAGTGCTTCGTATGAATGACTGCTAAGATTGAGCTCACCCTGGCTGGTTCCATTTGCAAGGTGGAACTTGATGCCGAAGATGACGGAAGTCCATCTCTTGCCACGGTTGCACTCGACCATGCTGATGGGACCGTCGCGGCCAAGGTCGATTCCGTGGATCCAATGCTGAAAGAGGCTTTCCGTTGAGTCAGGTGGCATGCCCCACTGGCCGGTGTGCCCGTCCTCGTACTTTACACGGCTACCTTGCCAAGAACACCCAACGTATAAATCCATGCGCACAGCGCCGTGGATCTTCCCATCAGGCCCCTTATCACGCAGGAGTTGCACCCACGGCTTCATGTCATTCCAGTCCCCTGTGCCGCCGGCTCCGATCACGAAGCGTTTTTCCAGCATCATCCCAGTTCCTGGAATCTTGATGGCCTCGATCGATGGAGGGGTTTGCCATACGTTTTTCTTCCTGGTCTCTTCGCCGTTGACCCCAACTATCGAGAGCGAGAGGGGAGCATTTCTGTTGAACCTTTTGACGAGCCCTTCTTCCTGGATTTCTACGCTTTTGACGGGATGACCAACTGTTGGGCAAGCTTCAGCTTCTCCGTTGAACGAGATACGGGCAATACCTCCCAACGAAGAAATCTCCAGGATTGCCCCGCCTGTCTCCTCGTCACGTTTCCAGCAGAATCCGGGCTTTTCGCTGCGATGAAATGCTGCCTTGAGCGAATCAGACGGCAATCTAAAATGGCGAAGGCGGCGGAGGACAAGGGCGTCTGCAAGATCCCAGTGTGCAGTGTTCCGGGTGCTGTCAGACACTATCATACCGCTCGCTCGGAGACAACATGAATACGCCGTCTCGGCGAGGAAATTCTTCGGCCAGTCCAATGCGTACCCATGTGCCATGATACCTGGATGGCGCGACAAACCAAAAGCTTGTCCAACTGCTAGGAGAAGAGCCCCCTGTCCGATGGCGCAAGTCTCCCACATCGAAGCACATCTATGGTAACTCTCTCTGATTGAAGAGCCCGGGCTGGTAGTATCGGCCAAGCAGTCGGCTACCTCTTCCACGAAGCGGGGCCAGGAGAACGTCAAGTCCCCTCCGGACAATCCAAAGGAGACACCATTGGCATCATGGCGACCCGAGGCACCTCCATCCCTCACTGTGCTTTGATCGCGGTACGGCCAGTCAAGCATTATGCCCGCAACCACCGGACGAGTCGAAGACTGGAACGGCCCTTTTGCTTCCTTCAGGGCATCAACGAAGCAGCGCCAAGGGACACTTCCGTTATCACGGCGAATCTGGTTCACTGTCGCGGAGGAGCGGACGACGTGGATCTTGGCTGTAGTTCTAGGGAGAGAATCAGTGACACGTCTTCTCTATTGTGGTGTTTGCTGTGTACTCACCGCATGATGCCTTCGCGATGCAAAGGTTGCATTGGTGCATTGCAGAATTCCCGACTGACAGTGTCGGCAGCCCATTCTTCATCCAGTCTGAACGTGCGACGCCCTAGGCCCTTCAGGCGCATATCCTCAGCAGTCATTGCCTGCCACATGTATGCTGTCATGCGGAACTTGGCAATGGCTGCAGCAAGGTCATCGTGGGTGCCATAGGCATCGCCCTGCTTGTGGGAAGGGCAGTACATGGCCAGGGGAGAGTCGCTTGCGACCATGATGGCGAGGTGAAGCGGTGGGTTCTGCAGTAAAGGAATGTAATGCAGCAGGTTGATTAGCCCCGCTTTCGACTTGCCGTTACGCAGGTGGAATATCATTAGCTGGTTGGCTCCGGGCGACAGCATCACCAATGCTTTGAAGTGACCTCCAGCGGCAGGCCACACCTGCTTTGGGAATGCCTCGATGCCATTGACACCCGTCGTGGTGATTGAGATGTGATTGGTACCGCCAGTGTGCGTGTATGTTCCGGTCAAGAGAAGGCAACGCTAGGCGATGTTGGCATGATAGCGTGTGGTGGATGATGAGCTCACCTGGTGGACGGTTTCACCACTTTCGATGTTGAGTGTCAAAGGCTTGTTTCCCGCCATGACTTGACTGGGTCAGCTCCCTGAGCGAGCGGTTTGCCGAGTTAGGTGAGGGCTACCTAGGTAGGAAGTGGATCAACGGCAGTGGATAGAAAGAAAAGCAAATGAGCGGGCTGTGAGGGATTGAGAGGGAGCGAGCTGGAGGTATCGAAACCATTGAAGGGGGCAAGTCCTCACCTCAGGTGTACAATCGGTCAGGCATCACGGGGATCACGGGGGGCCACCTGGGCAGGCTGCAGCGGTCTCTTGGAAGGAGCGATGAAAGAGGGAAGGCGCAACCCAGACCGAGTCCGGGCACCTGGCATCCTGGCATTGTCTTGAGTATTAGTAGTAGCGGATTGAGCTGTTTGAACACTCCACATCGCGACAATTGACAGCATGTAACCCATGCGTTTTTCATTGTGGTGCACGCTTTGGGTGCTGTGTGTTTTCCGTTGTTCCAATTGCGCGCCGCTGGTGATCAGGAAAGGAATGGAACTGGAAATAGGGCAGCCTCCTCTGCATCGGCATGAGATATCATGATGGAAATGCTTAGAGTACACACATGAGCCATTGTTCCGTTGGCTGGACCCAAGCAACGCCAACATACGCTGCCTAGTAGTAGGTGCCAACTGCTACATTACCATTGAAGTGTGCAGGTGGTTCCAAGCTTGGGCATGTTGAGAATCGCCACCGGCCAAGCTCATCTTTCCCAGAAAAGTCTTGGCATCATTAGTCATCCCAAAGCTTAGCGCGTCTTCTCTCCGCGTTCCTTCATCTAATAAACCTCCATCGCCGCATACTCCGTACAATCGCCACCATCGCTCTCATCGACTCGCGCTGCACACACAAGGAACATTCACCACTACCCTGCTTGTCTGGGATTTCTCCCACAATCCATCCTCCATCATGGCGAACTATCTCGCCTCCATCTTCGGAACCGAGCAGGACAAGGTAAATTGCAGTTTCTACTACAAAATCGGCGCCTGCCGCCACGGCGACCGGTGTTCGCGCAAACACGTCAAGCCCTCTTACAGCCAGACCATCCTGCTCCCCAATCTCTACCAGAATCCGCAGTACGATCCCAAGAACAAGATGACCCCCGCGCAAATGCAGCTGCACTTTGACGCTTTCTACGAGGACATCTGGTCCGAGCTGTGCAAGTATGGCCTCGTGGAGGAGTTGGTGGTCTGTGATAACAACAATGATCGTGAGTTCAACCCCCTGTCTCTTCTCATTTGACTGGAAGGCTAGCACTGACTGCGCAGATTTAATCGGCAACGTCTACGTTCGATTCAAATACGAAGAAGATGCGCAAAAAGCCTGCGACGCACTCAACTCGCGCTGGTACGCCGGCCGCCCTATCTACTGCGAGCTCTCCCCTGTTACCGACTTCCGGGAGGCATGCTGTCGGCTGAACAGCGGCGAGGGTTGCGTTCGTGGAGGATTCTGCAACTTCATACATCGCAAGGAACCCAGCCCGGAACTGGAGCGCGACCTGGATATGGCGACGAGGAAGTGGTTGCAGGAGAGGGGAAGAGACCCGCGGAGTATGAGCAGGAGTCCGACGCCGCCGCCGAAGAGGTTCTAGACGGATTAGAAGGTGCGGAACGGGATAAGGGTTATCGGCGTTGGGCGCTTTGACATCTGTTGATGGTAATGGGCTTGCGACCGGCGTTTGGGCATTTGCAGGGCGCCTTTGGAAGGTTCTGTACATGTACATGGGCAGGAAACTGTTACCAGCTAGACATGAGTGTCGTTCGCATTAAACGGCATTAGTCATCTAAAAGCCTTGAGGGTTACAAGACACTCGAAGATCGCTGTTCGTATCTCTATGGCAGATTCTGGTCTAAGAAACCAAGGAGGCCAAGGGAGCATCGCCGTTGGTGATGAACTTGACGAAGTCGGGGACCGGATCATACAGCATGACATGGAAGTGCTCAACCGCATGGACGCTCTTCAAACTCGCCCAATTCTTGAACCAAATGACATGGTCCGGCTTCACTCTGCTGCAGAAGGTCCGCTGCACGTAGTCCTCTATGCCCTGCCGCGCTTCCGGCGTCAGGGCATCTGTCCCTGGCACCTCGTCCAGCGGGAACTTGGTCCAAACGACGAGGTGCACAATCTTCTCGTCTACGCCGTAGGGCCAGTCGTTGTAGAGGATCTTGATGTCGTCTGTGGTGGTTTTTCGTAGATGCATCAGCGGTTGTATGTGATGTGTATGGATGCCACCCTACCTTCGCATTCGAACGGTCGGCCCCGCGGCTTCATATCCGTCCACTTCAACCTCTCGTCGACGATGAACTTCAAGATGGATCCATACTCCTTTACCAAGCGGTGCGTAAACTGGCGATAGCGACGCAACTCGGAAGGTACTCTGTGGAACTTGTCGACGCGATTGGCTCCTGGGCCTCATCAGCATCTCTCCCAAACAAGGCTGCAATTTATTTGGTAATTGGTTAGGGTAGTGTAGGGGTACGGACGGATCAGCTCCCTACACTCGTCCCATGAGAGTCTCGTATACTCGGCATCGGGCGTCCCAATGATGCTGCGGTCTTTCTCACTACAGTCTCGCAGGAAGTCCGGGCATTCGGAGGGCCATTGGTCGCGTGGGAGGTTGACGAGCCAGAAGGGGAGAGGCTCTTCGTGGGGCATGGCGTCGGGGTTATTAGGCTGGCGATATTATTGCGGAGTATTAGGACGAGGAGCAATCTATTCAGGACCAAGGCGGGTGATGTACTGTGGTAAGCTGGGGTTTGGAGACTGGGATGGAGCGGAATGCAGGGGTGCGAGGCTGGAGACGAGATGGAGCGGAAGGATGGGAGGCGGGTAGGTAAGAGGTGTGAAAGGGTTAGCGTGGGTGTTTCTGCACACACTGTCACAGTTTGGTGGAACTTTGGAAACATGTTCTCTCCAGCTCCAAGAAGGGCGGCGACATCATGTTGGCTGTGAATGGATGCCATGTCTACCTACGACAAACTACTCCTACACAGTAAATAGTTATTAAACATTCTCCAAGAAATGTTCCGAACTTGACCACACTCCCCTGCATCCAAGACCCACAGCATCGACGATGCGTTACAATTTGCCCGCTTGTTTCGAACCCTCTCCCATTATTCATTTCCCGCCATTTTATTATTATTATTATCCTCCTCGCGACCGTTGGTTTCCCATCCAACAGCTGCCATTGGCCCAGTGCGGGTTGCGCCTGTGGCGCTGGCTGCCTCGTGGCCTGTTAAATGAAAAGCACCTCTCTGTCGAACGGAATTCTCAAGAGCCCGGACATCCAAAATGAAACTTGTTTACGGCTCCAGACAAGGCCCGGCGAATCGACTGCCGCACGGGAGATGCGCCAGCTTGGTAGCATTAGGTTAGATTGTCTTTTCTCCTCTGTGCCTCCCTCTCTCCGCTCTCTCTTCCACCTTTCATTCACCACTTTCTGACCGAATTCACTCTCTTCGTGACGCGCCTGGACGTGCTGCCGTTGCTCCATCCAACTCCCTGTCGTTCGTTTCAACCTTTGCACCGCCGGCCGTCGTTCACTCCTTTTCCATTGTCGTCATCATCATCATCATCGATTTCGTTCTGTTTCCATCCATACATTCCAGGTGCAGCGTGACCCATTCACATTCCGACACCCCACAGGCCAGGTAACTGGCCGGCTGTTCCAAGGAAGGACTTTTCAGTACCGACTCCACATTCCAAGCGGGCCGCTGGACAAACGGCTTCACGTCGTACGGTTTCTATATCGACCGGAGCCCCGCAACGTTAAACAAATACTCCATCACCAACTGCGGGATTGGCCCCTTCCGTTCCGTTTTCACAGCGTCACGCAAGTCTCAGCGCTTGAGCGCCTAGCGAACTCGACACGGGCATATCGCGCTTCTACCGCGTTTTCTTTCCATTCCATACACGAACCATCGCCATGTCCGTTCGCGACCCTGCTTTCTGGCGCCGCTTCAGCGTCGCGGTGCACCAAGACGAAGAGGCCCAGCTCCGAGCCCAAGCCGGCTCCGACTCGTCCGCAAGGCCAGAACTAAAGCACTCGTACGTGAGCCCCTCCAGCCCTCCTCAGAGCGAGACGCAGCAGCAGCTACGCGGAGCCAAAGCCGAGGTCGGAGTCGAGGTCGAGGTCCTCCAGGAGTCGTATGAATCTCAATCCCCGTTGCTATCGCTACCGGCGACTGCGAGGAGCGCCGCAAGGCCCGACACGCTCAACTGGCCGCTGTCGTCGCCTTTGCCCTGTTCGCAGCCGCAATCCCCATACCCAGAAGACGAGAAAATCTCGGCCCCGGAACCCTCGTATCCGCACCCCTCATCTACCTCGCCTCCTCCCTTTAGTTCTCATCCCCATTCCCGTTCCCGTTCCCCCTCGCATCCCCGTCGTCTATCCAAAGCCCGACGCAAGCAAAACAGTTCGCTCTACCGAAACACACGCTTCAACTCGTCGAACCTCACTCTCGGCCTCAGCAACCGGCCCGCGTCCCGCGGCTTCAAGTTCTGGACGCAGATCTCGGCTGACCCCAGCAACAGGGAGAGCTGGCTCGAGGAACAGCGGCGCAAGAAGAGCAAGAGGACGTGCATGTGTTGGGGGTTTTGGTTGGTGTTTGCAGCGTTGGTGGCGGGGATCGTGGTTGCAGTGTTGTTGTTGAGGAGGAAGGGGATGATTTGAGGGGGGAGAGAGCGGGGAAGGGAGAGAGACTGGGGGAGGAAGAGAGACTGGGGCGTACTATGGCGTTTTTCAGGGGAATAAATGGACTACTACTGAAGGGACCGGAGCTGGGGTTTTCTCCGCCGTGGGGGTGGTTATACCCAGGTATGGTGGGAAGGGGAAACCATCCATGTGATACCAGTACTGTGCGATAGATTCCAGTACGCAAGAACTTTGACTCTTAATTCCAGCACTTCTACCATTGCACGTTTCTCAAGGGGTCTTTTTTTTTTTTTTGTGTTTTTGTGTTTGTGTGTGTGGGTGTGTGGGTGTGTGTGTGTGGGTGTGGGTGTGGGTGTGTGTGTG